GTATTTCTCAACTAGATTCTTCTTCTTTCTGAGTTGCTCTTAATTTCTTCAATAATCTCAGATAGTATCTCTTGTTTTTTTCATTCTTATAAATTGAACATTCATTTTCATAGCACAAGCTTCAGTGAATTCTAACATGTTCTGAATGCTCTGTATTTGACATATTCTGAGAGTCTGATATTTCTTCTTCACTTTCTTCAGTGTCACATCTGCAATACTGACAGTTTTTGATGTCACATCTGTAGTCTTTATGATACATGAAGTCTTTCATAATCTGTATTCATTGCATGAACTCTTCTTGTTGTTTCTGTTGATGTTCACATGAACAACTGTAGATCAGATAATTCACATGTTTCTTATGAATTGAATCTCAAATCTTGTTCATCTTCAAATTATAGTAATAATTGCACTTCAATAGTCAGATTTCTCAATCATCACTTAATTTCTTTCTTTTAATCACACACAGTTCTTCACACAATTTTCATTTGTTGCTTTTTAATTCATTCTGACACTTGCTTTCATTCTCTGATTATCTTGATAGTGCTTGATAGATCTTTATGATGTGCTCTTTAAATATTTTATGAAACTGTTATTGTAATTCTTCATCTGTTGATTTCTCTTGAACTATTGCTCAGAAATAATGTTTTAATTTCTTAAAATTCTCTTTATTTTCTTGTAAGATAGTTCTGAGTTTTTTTTCTTTATGTTCAGCTTTCTTTGTTTAATATTGCTTCACTTAATATTCTGATTTATCATAATAGAAACATAATTTGTCTTTCTTTCTCCATTCTTTTTCTTTTTTGTCAAGAGTGTCTTGTCTGATTGCATTCAATTTTATAGATATAGATCTGTAAGAGTCTGCTTGAGATGCTTTATTTCATTCTTTGTGATTCATTAAGCTGAATTTCTTTCATGATATTTTTTCTTGTTTCTTCATCTTCTGTTTGTAGAGTCAGTTTCCAATTCTAACTGCCACTTTAATCATTTCAGTCAGATTTTGTGATTGTTTCTTCATGCATGTGATTTTATCTTTGATATCATCAAATAATTCTTAATAGAAAGTATCAGCTAGAGCCTCATCATTCCAATCTGTGTTGACACATACTTGTTGAAATCTTATAGTGTATTCTTATGATGACATTTTCTGCTGCATGTTCTGTAACTGTTGTATTGCTGCATTTCATTCTTCAACTTCTCTGAAAGTGGTTTTAAGTGTTTTAATAAAGATTTTATAATAATCAATAACTCTGAGCATGTTGTCATTCTGATCAACTTCTCTTTTCTCATAGTAGTTTTATAAATAGATGTTAAATCAATTGAATACTGCTTTTCAGAAGTATGATGCTGCTGTCATTACTTTTTCTTTATTATTTTTGAATTCTTCTCTCTTCATGTTTATATAGATTTGTAGTTGTTCTAGAAACACTTGTAACTTTTCTTATTTATCTTTAAATAATTCTGATGAGTTGACTTTTACTTTATTTTTAATATTAAAAATTGCTATAATCTGAGTCTTGATCTGCTTGTTGTGATCTTTTAGCTTAAGATTTTATTAAGTTAGGATTTCTATCATCTGTTCAAGTCATATAATCTTTTCCATCATTTCTCATGCACTGTTTGAGATTTCAGTTATAGACATGATTTTTATATTCTGTTAGACTTTTTAATGAATGAAATTCATATCTTTATTTCTTTTTCACTTGTGACACAATATTCTTTCTTTGCACTTAAGCTCTGAAGTCTCAGGTGTATCCTCTTCTGAGTCAGAAGTGATTAATGTGTTATTAAACTTGTTGTCTAATATAATAAATTGAGGCTTTAGTGATTAATACTCCAATGGTGCTTGATCTTGAGTCAGCAGACTTGTTCAATAGCAAAGAATTTCTGTACAGATATGTTAGAGTTGAGTCAAGATTATCATGTCTTCTCAAGAGTAGTGAGAGCAGATACAATCATACAGTATTACAGAATTTTAATGATATGAAAAGTAATCAAGATATGATAGTATCTGTATAAATAAATCTATAGAGAGAATTGTAAGAGAAAAGATTAATCATGATGAATGAATCCATCTGATCAACAGTAAAGAATGCTCTTATATATATGATGAATATTGTAAATAGTCTGAGTAGTCTCTTCTATTCTTCTGTCTACTAGTTGAAATAGTCATAACTATTCTAACTATCCAGCCATCCACCAGTTGAGATAGTTGCTACTATTCTGACTATTCAGTCACATGACTTTCACCTCTTCAGATTCTAGCCTCTTCAAATTCTAGTTATTCCAGTCTGTAATTCTTGTAGCCTCATCATGCTCCACTTCCTGATCACATTCTCCATATGCTCTTTCAATGGTGTGTGATGATTCTGTGCTGTGCTGCAAGATTTATAACAAGTTTATTGAAATAATATGAAAGAGAATCTGTCAACTTCTGCATATAATTCAGAGACTTTTAACTGCATGACATTCAGAAACAGACAGATTAACAGAAAGAATGAATCAGATTCTTGAGACATTTCTACAGAAGTATATTAATCACATGCAATCAGACTGAAAATGTTGACTTCTGATAGAAGAACTGACAATCAACAATCAAGAAGTAAAATCAACTGGATTCTCACTCTTTTTTCTTACTCATGAGTACAATATTGAATCATTGAAACTGACAGAGAAGTCCTCAAGTTTGACAACAGAAGATTATTAAAGTTTAATACAATAAGAAGAGATGATAATTAGAAAACTTTAAGACACACAGAAGACTGCACAGGCTGCTATTACTACTGTTCAGAAACTACAAAAATAATATATAAATTAAAAGCAGAAGATGTTCTACAGCTACAAGATAAAAGACAAGATTTAATTAAATCTTTAAAATGTAAGAACAGACAGATCAAGCAAGAAACTTGATATAAAAAATATTAAATATACAGTTATTAAAGTTATCAGATTACATGCTTATTATCTTGATACTTCTTCAGAAATTTATAATGTGTTTAACACTCAGCTTCTTTAATCAGCATTTAAAAATCTCTTTTCTTCACAAATTGTACATGAGCCCCAGCTACTGTCAATACTAGTCAATAATAAGTATGAAGATGATGAACATAAGAAATAAGAGATTGAGAATATTATTGATGAAAAAAGAATAGATACTTAATAGAAATACTTGATGAAATGAACTGAATGAAACTGATCTATATGAAAGTCTGCTAGAGCATTAGAGAACATGACTGTATTGAATCAATGAAAGTTTTAAAAGCAATCAGAAAGCATTATAGACAATACTCAAGCATTAGCTTGAGAAGAAGATAATGTGACAGACTGATGTTTGATAGAGAACTTTTAATAAATCATCAGACTCAACAATTCAGCAATCTTCTAATCATGCTTGACAGCTCTCAACAGTGCTTACTAACAGCTGACATGTTCAATCAATCAGATTCTCAATCAAGACTCACTAATTTATTCTCACTTTCATAAAAGCACACAAATTTTGACATCATTCTCTTTCTCTTTTTCTTTCTTTTCTTAAGCAATTCTTCTTGTCAATAGAGCATAGATTAGTTAGTGAAACAAACTTTAATGTCTACTGCTTACAGAATTCACTGGGGAAAGCTGCAGTATCAAGTCAAATAATTAAAATATAATTATGATCTGCAGTGGTACTCAGCAAAGAATTTTAAGAGCTCATCATATTAATTAAGAGATTATTACAAGAGCAATCTGCAGAAACCAGAATCTCTGAAATAACTGACAGAATGACTGAAGATATGAAAGAGTGAGAAAAATGTATCAGAATATGTGAATGATGACTTGTCAAGAGCATGAAATAAGAAGATCTATAATCAGAATGTCTGATATGAAAACATATCTGAGTTTTTCAGAGAAGTAATGTTAGAGTCTGATGCAGAGTGATAAAGAAGCATCAGACTTGAAGATATGTGATCAGATTCTTCAGATGACTGCTGTTAGTAGAATAAGAGCTCAGAACAAGAGAGTATATATTGCATGATCATCTCAGATCTCTCTTTTCTTCACCATGTTTAGTATTTTTGAATTAGATCTATCTAGTATGACAGTTTATTAGATTCTTCTTCTTCTATTCTTGCACCTAGTCTGAGATTGTATCAAAAGTCATGATCAACACTGCTTGAAATCTTTTAATCAAAAGACTTCAAAAAGGGCAAAGTAAGATGATGTTTAGTATTATGATATAATCTCAGACTAGATGCAAGAATAGAAGAACAAGAATCTAATAGACTGTCATACTAGATAGATCTAATTTAAAAATACTAAACATGATGAAGAAAAGAGGAGTCTGAGGTGATTGTGCAATATATACTCTCTTGCTCTACTAACAGCAGTTGTCTGAAGAATCTGATCATGTGTCTCTGAGTCTGATGCTTCTTTACCACTTCACACCAGACCCTAACAGACTGGACTGAACTCTGGTGCAGAGAGAGAGAACTTGATGTGGGGGTTTATAAGCATGATATTTGCTGGCTGTAGATCTCTTTGCAAGATAAGTGATTGTTTAACATCAGTTCAAAAACTATCTTACCACAGTGTATAAGATCTGAAGCATGTATATATTCTACTCCAGAATAATCTGATAAGAAACTGCTCTCAGCCAGCTTTTCCTGTGTGTAAGTCCTCAACTCTGTGTTTCACCATCCCACAGCATTACAGGGAATATAAAGCAGAGGCATGTTCTATTAGGGTCTTGATGCTCAAAATAATCAAGCAGCTCTAGTACATTTGTCTTGCCAGCATGCTGAGTCTCTGACTGGGGTAGATGAAGAAGGATTTCAAGCTCTTTGCTTTTTTGGAATGCTTCTGCTTTAAAGTAGATGTACACCTATGTACCCTTCTTTAGTTTTGCGGTTCTTTTGGTTAATAGGTAACCTTCCAGGCTCTCACGTGACCATCAGCTTGGCTGCAAAGCGCAGTTTCGCTCCATCGCATCCTCAGCAACCCCCCGAACCCGCGAGAAACCAGAAATGAACAATGCGTTTTCGATAGCATGGCGAGGCCCATGTTTGGGCATCCGCTCCTCGTTACAACCCAAGCCCTCGCCGCCCGTCCAGCAATTCACCCGCTCATTCTGCCGGGATGCTCGAAATTCGATTAGAGCTGCGTGCAGTCGAGGCGATGGATCTCTGAGCCCCCGCTGGTCAGGCACGAGCGCGAAACCACCCTCCCCTATCCTACCACGATACTGCACTTTGCGCCGGCCCTTCAACACCTCCGCATCTCCTCGCGCGCAGCTGAATTCCTCAAACAATGGCGGGCCGCAGGAGACCGGTATCCCATTTCAGCCGCGCGAGCTCTCCCATTCTCAAATCGCACAAGTCTTCGGAACGCCTAGGATACCGCCGGCCTTTGGCAATCGGATCCTTCGCGTGCTCCATGGGCGGCGAGTGGCCGGGACTTTGGATTTGGATCTACCTCCGGACATCAAGAATGGGGTCCCGCAACATGTCCTCGATGATGGTCTGCAGTGGCTTCGAAAACATTTCCCGGTTGATGAGGATGCGGCGATTATGGAAAGGATTGAGAGGGAAGAACAAGAAGAGGAAGAAAGATTGATGCGACGCGCTGAAAAACTCGGGCTATATAAGCCGCAGAGCGGCAGGTTCGGCGCGGAGGTTGAGAAAGAAGGAGACGTATATGGGCATAGCGTTCTTCAAGAAATAAGACAAGAAAATGAGAGGAAAAACTTAAAGAGAGAGGAAGCTGAGAGGCACGAGTGGTTGGAATCTGAGGCGAAAGAAAAAGAGAATTTAAAAAAGGCAATGCAGAGGAATACTGAATTGGCAAAATTTGAAGAATCTGCGATTGCGGAAGGTAAAAGAATTCCTCTCCCGCGGTGGTGTTAAAATGAAGCAACGGGACTCTAATTGCATTCGCAGCTCGCCCTCGTGCGGATCCCAACCTGCGCCCTGCTCTGGCTTGGATTCAAAAACACCACTTACGCGCAACAGCTACGAATATTGACACATCGAAATTGAACAAGGTAAATTTCGCTGCTAATTTGGTTGTACTCCGCGATGATACTAATGGGCTCTGCAGCCGCGCCGCATTCTCCCGTCATTGGGTATTGCTATCCTAACAGTGGGACTGTGCTATTTCTATTCCGAAACGTACCAAGCTCCATCGCTTGAGCACCGCATGTTTCCGAGCCTCCCTCCCGCTGCAGCGACTGCACTTAGTCTCATTGGAACTAATGTCGCAATCTTTGCGTTATGGAGAGCTTTCCCGCCTGCATGGCGACTCCTCAATCGATATTTTATCAGTGTGCCCCTTTACCCATATGCACTAAGTACTATAGGCTGTGTGTTTAGCCATCAGCAGCTGCACCACCTGGGGGCAAACATGTTTATTCTTTGGTTTGTCGGGACAAGATGTATGTTTCATCAGGCCTACTGCCCCATTTTGTCACAAATATGTACTAACTGATTCGACCGGCAGTGCATGACGAAGTTGGTCGTGGGAACTTTCTGGCTCTTTACTTTTCTGCCGGAGCCGTCTCCTCGATCACATCGCTTGCCGCCCATGTCCTCGGGAACAAATTGACTGTCACGTCCCTGGGAGCCAGTGGTGCAATCGCAGGCATAGCGGCTGCTTGGTGTATGCTGCATGCCAAGTACGTCCTACACCTTTTACCTTGCCAAAAGGTGATACCATTAATCTGACTTTTTCTTTTTTATCAGTGACAAACTCGCTATTGCTTTCATTCCACGCGATTGGCAAGAGGTTTTTTCCGCAAACGGGAGCACATTCCTCGCAGCTATCGTGTTGATTGAAATTATCACTCTCATGTCGCCATTGAGAATCCTTGCCATGGACCACTGGGCGCATTTAGGTGGGTATGCAACTGGCGCTCTCGTCGGATGGTTTTGGAAAGAGAAACGGGAGAAGGAAAAGAAGAAGAATTTTTGGTATAAGTTTTTGGAAGGATATCGGTAGAGCCTTATACTAGACTTGTAACCAACGACTGAATCCATGTAAAGGTACTGGCGTTACGGTGGAACGGTTATAGCTACTCATGCTCTTAGATGATATTTTGGCGCTGTACTATAGAGAGACTCATACCTGAAACGATATGAAATCCGATTTAAGAGATCAAATCCAAATATCATTTTCTACATGAGTTCAACGTTTACCTTTCCAATATCAAGCTAACCAAGTCGTTCAAATCTCCAAAAAAATGTAGAGTGATATCAAGATTAAAAACCGGTAAAACTAGATTAAATTCCCACCAAAACACCATGCGTTAAAACGCTAAATCCGTTCTTCGATGCCAAATTTTTCCAAAACCACAATCAAAAAAAAACGGGATATCGTGCACGCCGTGGGCTCGGTAGCGTCGTTAGAAAGAAAGGAGGTTCAACTCTGTAGTTCGCCGAGGGGACTCGCTCACGAACCTTTTAACGCCTGCACGAAGGCCAAAACGAAGCTGGTTAAAACCGATATCCTGAATAGGTTCAAGAAATGGGAAAAGAAAAAAGCGAAAAAGAGAAAACCCAACTCACGCCTCACAGGAAGAGAGGCATAAGCCACACTGCCGGTTTTTTCTCCATTTTTCTTTTTTCTCAAATGGCATTTTTCTCTTTTTCTTTTTTTCCCTCGATTTTTTTCTCTTGTAACATAATGTTTCTTTAAAAAACGTAGGATATTACATCAAGCCTATTGTAACGTCACCCTTGACGCGAGCGTACAGGTCCACCTCCGCTTCGAGATCCAGCTCGATCTTGATCTTCAGACTGTTGTCCCGCTGCTCTTTGGGCTGCGGGCGGTCCTTGATGCGGGACTCGCGGATGGCGCCGGTGCGGCCGCCGAGGTCGCCCGTTCGTCGGGCCACGACTTGTTGTTGCTGGGTGGCTGGCGGCGCGTAGGCATAAGGATACGGTTGCTGCTGTTGTTGCTGTTGGGGTTGGTATTGCTGCTGTGCGACGGGTTGCTGTTTCTCTTGTTGCTGTGGTTGCGGTTGCGGCTGTTCGGTGTCTGATTCAGCATCTGAAGCTTGGTAGCGATTGCTGGAAAGGGGAGAGAAAGTTAGTAAACTAGATAAGACTACAGGTTTTCGTCTAGGAACCGTGCAATCGGGACGTACGCATCGGCCATTTTTGATGGTTAACGGGTAAGGAGATGAAAGTCAATCACACACAATCGAGCGGAGTGTCGAGAGTAGATGCTGAAGTGCAAAAGGGTCTATAAGACGCAGAGCAAGAGAGTTTGATTTATTGTCTCAAAGGGAGGGAAAAAAATGGTGTATCCGATTCACGGGGACAAAAGGAAAGCTCAAAGGCATCAGCAGAGGTTCATATATATATTTCCCATCGAGGCAACTTTTTCTCGCTCCCGAGCTGGGCCCATCGCGTCCCCAGCCCGTCATTCTCTCGGGTTGACGTCATGATCTAGGTTCAGACGAAATGGAAAAAGAGTACTTCTGCCAAAGAGCAGCCGCCCGCAAACGACAGGTACCGCGCGGCTCCGTCAGGCTGGTTCTTGCTTTGATCCTTGCCACGTGGGGCGACACGCGCCCACTCCACAACCTTAAAAGCGCGTCCGGCTTGATGATGTCATTCCCCCTTGTTCCTTGACGTTTGGACTAAAGAGCGGATTTGGGAGGGGAGGACAGCCGGCTGGGTGAAAGGCCGGTTGGAGACTGTGGCTGTAGGACGGGATTAATCAAGGGGTGAAGAGTGCGGACTCTGTTTCCTTTTGAGTCTTTTTTCTATAGTTAGGGCGAGGATGGACAATGGCCGAGATAACTCCAATAAGGAAACCTTCAGCAATCGGAGCCCAAGTTGCCCCTGCATGGCCATTAAAGCAATAAAGTCCAAGGGTTCAGTCCGTATCCCGTGTCCCTGGAGATTTAGAGAATATGCAGTCTCAATCTTCCCCCAGCCCATGTCCTCGCTACGTCATCGTGACTAGAAGGGATTTGAGGCGCACGCCGATATAACTGCCCCAAAATCGCGATCTCGCTACATTCTCCCCTAACTGCATACTCCGGAAAAGAATAAGAAACATTACGCTTCTCTACCGTTTCCACGGGCCCCCACAAAGCCTAATATCTCTAGAGGAGAAAAGAACCTGTTCGAACCCGCCACCTTGAACATTTCCCATCCGCAATGGAATGGGCTAGAACAAAATCCGCGGCCGCCTACAACTACGTCCGTTCTTGGGTTGAGGATCTCTACCTTTCCTATAACAAAGAAAATCGAACTTCTTATGTGCTCAAAGGTGAGTAGTTCAGATTATTCGACAAAAACTTTTTATAGATTCAGGCGTCCCCTGATCAGATGCTGCCTGCACAGATGGATTAAACAACACCAAAGTCACTGGCGACGAGAACGTCGACGGTATCCAGGGTTCGATCAATAGTGCCGTGGGCAACACGGTTGCGCCAGGGCAAGTTGGTGGTGTCGTAGGCGGTGCAGTGGATCAGAACGTTCTCAGGGGGAATTTCAGATAAACCAAGGGAGTTGTGGATGTGCGGCGTTTTAAGTGCGTATAATAAACAAATACAGCAAGAATAAAAAAGGTATCAAAAATTGAAACATTATGTCGATATACAGCAAAAGATTCTCAGGGATGCAAATCAAAGCCAACACACGCATTTGTAGGAAAATCGATCCGATCAAATCCAAAAAAAACCACGTTCATCGTACATCCGTCCCAGGCAGTTAAATAGTACATTATCTTCCCACATCGTACAGCATGGACTGAGTGCGTATGATGGCGAGTAGATTCCAAATCCAAACGCAAAAACCAAAGAATGCGCAGAAACCACTCAAAAAGTGTGAGATGGCAAAAGGAGAATAAAGATTATATGCAAGATTGTCGAAGGAAGCAAAATTTTGACCCTTAGTGGGCTTCAACCGTGGGCTGTCCCTGGGGTTGCTCCTGGTGATGCCCATGACGATGGAAACGGTGACGGCGACGCTCCTCTGTTTGTTTCACAATCAATGGTGGAACTATCAGGCCAACCGTCAGCATTTAGGACATAACAACCTTCCGCAGAAACACAGTGTATTTTCAGAACGGGGGGCTTACTCCAAAACCCGTATCCTTCCGTGTTGCCCTCTTTATCCGCCGGGTCAATTTCAACTCGAATCGATACATCCAAGCCGCCGTCCATGCCTACGCGGCCAGTAATTCCATCCGCAGCGGGGTGGATTGTTCCAGCATCCACCTCCCCGGGGTGAAGAGGAAAATGGCCGTCCTTGGGCGGCGGGAATTGAGCTAGTTCTTGCTCGCTAGTCGTGTTGGTCCCATTGGTCTCGGAAAAGTCGGCCTCGGTGATGCATGCATAGTTGCGGGATGGCATTGTCACCTTGTTGAAATCAGCTGATTTTTCTTTCCCTCCGGGCTGCTTGTCAAAAATTTTCATAAGTGTTGCATCGGTATTAGAATCAAGATGGTGAATCTTATTCCTGCGGGCAAGTAAATTGGCTACAGCCTTGGGCGGAGGCTTGTTGGTGATAGCGCTGCTGATGATGTTGATCATGTATCTTGGGTCGTTGACCACTGGTATCCCGCTCTTAACTCGGGAGTAGAACCGGCCAATAGCTGCGAGATGCACGTCACCTCCAAGGATTGACACCCGAACAGCAAACCTCTCTGATATGTGCTGAAGCCGTTGGATCAGTTGCCTCCGCTCCCGCTTATGATGCCGGGCTGTATAGTGGTCATCCAAGTCATCCAAGAGATCTACTTGACCATCAAATTTGTTGAAAAGATTACCGCCAACGCCGAAACGACGGTTGAGCAAGCGAATGGGCGCAATGACAGGTGAAGAAATGATATTTTCCAACCAGGCAAGGCGAGGATAGGCGATGGGCACACCAAGGAGAAGAATGACGTGCTTGATCTCGCCATCAGCAGCCTCCAGTTCCTGTTCAAGACGGTTAAATACAAGGTCGTAGGTTTCTGGGTAGTTGACTTGGTGTCGTGTGCGCTCGGTACGGCCGTCAATGGCGATGAATGCAATTCGCCGGCCGAGTCTAGTGTAGATATTTCGGGCCGTTTCCTCCACATAGGGGCCAGGCCTAGAGCCCGGGATCCAGCTCGGGTCATCTTCCGTTTCTTGATAGACATAGCTATGCTCTAGTTGCCTCGGATCCCGTCCGGCCGTGCCATTGACCGCTTTCATGGTCTCAGGGGTATCAGTGGTGAAGGTGGACATTGGAGGTGCGCTATGATGCTGGAACAAGCAGTAATATTTGAAAGCAACGCCTCCAATTCCACGGAAGACTGCGCATTTCATGAAATGGTCAGTATAGGAGCCAAAGCCATCGATTATGTCATGGTCATCCCATATATTGATCTGCGGGATTTGCGCATTGGCCGTGGCAAATGGTTCTGTCGAATACCATCTGATATAATTATCGAAATAGAACTTATCACAGGCCTCTCTCATGGTATTTGGAAAGGGATGTGTTCGCCTTTTGGCTGGATTAGTGATGTCAGTCCAGCCCCGTAGCGGCCCATCGACTCGAACCGAGTCGTTGTAGATTTGATCTCCACCACCGATCATGACATGGAAGGGTTTTTTTTCATGGCGCCTCAGCACATCATGCCACAAGAGTGGCCCCTGCCAGTGATCAAGGTCCGTTCCCACTGAAAATCCGTTACAAGAATGGAACATGATCCGCATCGACTCCGTTACTGATGGAACAACAAAGTTCCAAGATGCCTCCCTCGATGCGTCGCTGGACGAACGAAATCTAAGAACTGTATATTCCCAGCGAGCTTCAAAGTTTTCCAGTGGGAGCTCGAGGGAAAATCTCCAAAAAGCCTTGACAGGATCCGCATAGAGCTTTCGGCCTTCAATGTTTACGTCCTTGGTCCCAGAGACATCGCCATTGATATGAACTTCGTCTTCGCCGTGCGAAACCGGGCCTTTGGCGCGCAATTTTAGGCTCGGATGCTTTTGGCCAGGGCTCGTAACAATCAACACCGTTCCATGCCAGATGGTGCGGCCACTATCGTCGGTACTCAGTCTTTTATAATTGAGTAAAGGGCCGCACAGGACCTCCAAATTCTCACTGATATTGATGACGCGGGGTCCGTTCCCTACGCCTTCGGCTGTATCGAAAACGTGATCATAACCTTCGGGGCGAATGGAGCTCGTAGCATCCGTTTGAACAGGAGCCGTGGGCTTCTCTGGAAAGTCATTAGCACGCTACGGCGACTAATTGTGGAAAAGAAGGGCCGAAGAAAGAGCACACTTACCGGGTGCGGTCTCCACTACCTGACCCAGCGCCACAGCCGGTTGAGTGGTTGGATTCGCCATGCTGCTTTGGATTAATCCTGAGTTCGCAATGAAAGCATAAAAGCAATTCAGAAGCTCATTCAATGAAACCAATCACCAGCTTGGCCGTCAACTCGGAGACCGAGTGGGCTTTGAAATCGAGGGATGCGACACAAACGGACCGATTGGTTGCGGCGTTGGCAAAAGTAACGGAGAAGCAGCTCAGCGACACCTCATGGGTCGATAAGCGCTGCAAAACATCCAGTCGAATCGGCTGAATGTGATCTGGTTGCGCCTTGTGATGGGAGGGATTGAGAGAGACGATTGGATCCGAGTTCAGTGATTGAAACCACAATAACAAACATCAGAACTAGTTAACCACTATTTAGCTCTGTATTACCCTGTTCAACCGCAGTATCAAATCCCAAACTCAACATCGACATCCACGCTACACCACCATGTCTTGAGTGCTCTCTTCGCACAACCTATGCGTCTCCCTCTGCCTGAATTGCTCCCAACGTCCACCACCGCGCTCGACTTCTCGCCGTCAAGATGGTCTCCAGCCACAATGCGCGTTTCAGCCCGTCACAGCGGTAATCTATCCTGGCCAATCACCGCCCGTGTTGCAGCTTATCCGCCGTAGCGCCCCACCTGGTCCTCAAAATTACCGTAAGGCAGGACGGTGCGCCACACTGGCAACTGCGTCATGTGGCGGTGCTCCATTAAGCCGAGCCGGCCAATCAGAACGCAGAGCTTACTCCCGGTCGGGCTTTTCCTCTTCGGGCCACTGCTTACAAAGCATCCCGGCTCTTTAGTCTTTGAAGGAATTGCTTCGCTAAAAGTTCGCTTCCAGAAACACCATATCAATGATCAGTTCTTGAAGGGAGAGATAATTTTAGTTTCTATGCACTTCAAGCGTACCAGCCTGCCATGCAACTCTCGGATTCTGAATCATCACGTCGGCTCTCTGCCCATTTCATCTGATGGGAAAGCCAGGGCCTCTCTCTTGAGTCTTCATTACCCATCAGTATCCATGCCATTATCTTTTAAAGTGGTCAACGTCCTAGCACATACGACCATAGGAAGTGGAATACAGGGCTTCCCGTCCGCTCAGCCGTACTTAAACCACTTGCCGGCTGGCTAGTAGTTGGGTGGGTGACCACCAGCGAATCCCAGCTGTTGTATGTTTTTTGGTTTTCCACTCTTTTGTTCATGCAGACCTGGTTGTAGATCAAGACATCTACCAATGCAAGAGAAGATCTAGCACATACGACCACAGGAAGTGGAAAATAGGGCTTCCCGTCCGCTCAGCCGTACTCAAGCCACTTGCCGGCCGGCTAGTAGTTGGGTGGGTGACCACCAGCGAATCCCGGCTGTTGTATGTTTTTTTTTGGCTCAAATCTTCCCTACCGAATATTGACGATCAATCTACATCAACCTGCTTGCATTACCTTCGTGAGATGCAATTTGTGCGTTAAACAGTGATGGCTGGAACTTGATGCTTTAAATCAGAACAAGCTTATGATGCCCATCGATCGAGCATCCTGGAGGAACGTCTGGCTATATGAAGCGTCGACTGGGAACTTACTGGGAGGGACTCATCACAATGGCTTCATGACAGAAGCGAATCTTCTGTCAATTCTTAGGGAGTTCTTCTTATAAGGACATTAAAGCAAGTCCGGACTCCCTTCATGATTTTCAGCTCATTTCAACATGAAAATATGGCCTTCTAACTACAATAAGAAGGTAAGTGGAGCATAACACCACTGCCATTGCTGGCAAAGCTTCCTATTGCAAATCCTTATACCATTTTATAAGCTTATAAAGAGTGGAAGCCGAACCACACTCTCCCGAATCTCTAAAAATATTCCTTTCAAGCTTATAAGGGCCGTTAAAGGGATTCGGTTTCGAACTGAACGGGCCTGAGACACGTACCTGTTCAAACCATAGAGATACACATAATAGCAACAGACACAAAGATGGTTGCGGGGTTGGGATGAGCGCCTTCTGTACAATCATGCCAAATATGAAGAAAGAGCAAAAAGGCCTTGGGCGTACGGCCACAGATGATATCGCTGTAAGGACAGTTAGTCTTGCAAGGCGATAAGATGACAGCACATGGCTCTTACAGCAGCATATGGTGAATTCTGCCTAATGTCTTCATATAGAGTCTCAGCAAGTGTGTCATGTCCAAAGCAACCTGCCAGGTCACGGACTGTCTGCTTGTACAAGGTGGCAACACTGGCTGCCATGAATGAAATCATGATAATCCTGCATAAAAAAAAGTTGTCGTTGATTCTGGCATCTGGTGAGGGGAATTGGGCCTTGCTGTAATGGGTTGGGGATGTTGAAGGTGTAAAGCAGGCAGACATTCCTTCACTAAAGATCGATGTCAGCACGGCGTCCGCCAGCATGGAAGCCTGAGAGAGAGGTGCCACCCACTTGTATAGGAATATTTCTTTTGCGTAGGCGCAGGTTTGAATCAGACCCTAGGTCGGTGGAGCTTGGTGAGAAACGCGATACACAGTGAGCACTGGGCGTTGCTCAGCAGTGGTTGGTGAAGATTCGGGCAACACAAGAGGCACCTTGAATGGGGTGGGTGAGTGAGGTCAACGGAATGGGGAAGGAAGCTTACAAAGTGAAAGTAGGAATGGCAAAGATGCAACTCCTGCATTTCCAACATATTGGCATAGAGACTCCCCTGGGGACCTATATAAGTCCATGCCAAAGTCAAAGATAAGGTGTTGCAGGACTGGGTCACTGTAGTCGCGCTGGACGTGCCATCCAAAAAAGCGGCGAAAGAGTCTTGCTGCTCACATTTGTTGCAAGTGGCCATGGCAGGAATGAACAGTGGTGCCACACGATATGACAGTAATATCGGTTCCTATGGTGACGGCCGCGGTGTTACCCGTGGGTTTACGCAACGAGACACATCTGGTATCACTGAGAAGCGAATCTGTGTTGTTACCATATTGGACGCTGTTGACCTCACTTCAATCAACCCGCATGACCATCACAACTTGAGTGAAAGCAAAGTGAGACTATATCCTTCCTTTCCCAGCCTTGAAGCCATTAAGCGAAGGTTCTCTCGGTTGTTCACTTCACTCTTCCAAGTCAACAACTCCCCAGTCAGTGAAATCGTCTATCGTTTATTAGATTCCAGTGTGCTATACGATCTTTTCGTCATCTTGATCTGCAACCTTTTGGTGAAGGAATCCACCTCGGGGTATTAGTGGGCCGAACAACCTGCCTTGATAGTATATATAAAACCCACCGTATTTTGAGCAGGTACGGGGTGAGGGCCTTAGAAAAATGGGAATCATAAGAGAGCCACAATGTCTCCTAGCCTGAGAGGAGTTTAATGGTCTGGGAGTTGAGGAATACAAAGGTAGGCTGACTGGGGGATTTGATCCCTTAAAAGAAAGTATCAGAGACTGCTCAAGCATGGGTTTGATTCTTTGGCCTTATAAAGACTCACGGCGAGATGTGTAGTCTAACCATGCTTTTGATGATCTCCATGGTTGGCCTTCCGTATAAGACCATGCACTCACCGTATGTACAGGTCGAATAATAAGACTGCCTTGGGTCCCGCATCAGTGGCCATCCGTGGGTAAGTATTCTCGCTGATAGTAGCGAAGCGTAGACTCGCAAGAAAAGCGCTAGGCCTTAAAGGTTCGTCCTTTCTCTGGCCCGGCTCAAGATTTAGAGCAAATCAGGAACTGAGGATATCACCGCATTTTTTGATTGCGAAAATCACCAAAAAAGCAGAATCAATCCGAATGCAACAGGATAGAGAAGGGGATTTGAGTTTCAGCGGAATATGCTCGGGTAATACTGGCCCTGTGAAAAGATAACGTCCTAATCCTTTATCAGTAGTGAAACAAACTCCCGTGGAAAAACACAAGGAACAAGCGCCAGAACTCCAACGGAGCTTGTATGTCCGCCATCCGAGGGGAACTGACATGGGCTGCAAAGCATTGGCCAATTGGTTCCTGATCGACGGGTCTTCGAATCTTCTCCTGTTCAAGGGTGATCCAGGCTGAATGTCACCACGACTTCCCATGAATCATTTGGTCACCAATCAACGTAGGGTGTTTCGATATCAGCGTCTGGAGGCAGATTGTCCCGTCAATCATTTTTGTTTGTCGAAAGTTAAACTGTCCCGGAAACTCGAGTCAGGTAGCATCAGCTTTTCATGCTTTGCGGGCGGGTGATCCTGGAGCACAAAGGATGACTGAATGGACAACGCCTTGATCGTGCAAACAGCTTCCTCTATCGCACCGCTCATAGGCGCGTGGCCCATAACTCGCTGAAAACCAATAGGTATAGATGGCGGCTAGTGCTGGCTTATGATCCTGCACTGCATTCGAGTAGGCTTTGCCTCAGAATTATGCGAAGCTCGTAGAAGCTCGGAGAATATTCATGGGAGCCCCGATCAACTCAATTCCTCCGGGGCCAAGGTCGGGAAAGGAAGAAATGAGGATTTTGCATGGACATCCCTGGAATTCTCCCCGGATTCAACAGGGGCCGCCATGCCAGCGTCAAGCTTTTACTCCGCATCCGGCAAAAGTTGAAGAGGAGAAATGCAATTGCGGATGTTGCCAAGTGCGCAAACAAGACGCCATCATCTTTGGGGGCTGACTGTGAGATCTGGTCCGGTGATGGACAAACGTACGAAGAAACAGACCAAGCTGACCTAGAGAATCATTGTGGGCAGTGCGTCTAGCGAGTAGTTCTTCAGCATCGTTCATCAGAAGAAGTTCGACAAAGCGAAAGCAAGCAAAACCCTCATACTGAACATCCATATCCCTGAACCCCAAAGCAGCGGGGGAACCGATGCGAGTGATTAAACAAGCGAAGAGGGTGAGGAAACGGCACAATCAGGTTGGCAACAGTGGCCCAAATTTAGATTGTAGCAGCTTCACAACTCCGGGACTGTGTCCTGATCCCTATCTGGGGCTGCAGAACAGGCGACATGGTGGTTTGCATGTCGAGAAGGTCTGATACGCGAGGACTAGGGGGCTTGTTTGACGGCAACGAGTTGGACGGCACAGCACGAATTATGGCCACTGCAGGACGGGAACCCTGACGAAGTTTGAAAGAAAAAGATGAATTGTCCTTTTGATGAACTCGATCCTCCTTGATGCAGGGGGTTGGCCCGGATTTGGTGTCTTTCTCACGAGGGAGACAAACTGATGACGATGATACAAGACCAGGTTTGTTTCTTCAACCGTTCAAAGGCAAGGCTCATTACAATATTTAGAACTGAAACTCAACTAACCTCTCGCTACTGTGCAGATCATCGCAGGAGCTAGCTCTTAACTCAATAATGTCCTTGTCTGCAGAAACGAGGGAAGCCATGGATGTGCCTTTGCGCAACGGAACACATGCCTCGACAAGCCTCCCAGGAACCAGGATGAAAAAATCATTCTGGCTAGGATCCATGGACTGATCTCTCCACACGCCAGGCTTTTGGTAAACGACGTTGATTGCTTGATGTAACACACCAAGCGGAGGAATAAGCTCAAGCAGTCATTCAACTCGACATCCTCAAGCCGCTCACATCCGGATACTTGAGATATCACTCCAGCAACCACTGCTCCTCTGACTCGGTTCGCGAATAACAACAGGCAGGACCTTGTCCCGCCTGTCACGGCTGTCGATTCTCAAAGGTCAATCCATGATGGTTGAAGAATTTCCGGTCCATGCCGCTCCGAAATATGCTGCAATCTCATTGCAGAGGCGAGGATTTCGAAGCGAGATTCAACGCGGACATGCATAATTCCTCTTGTTCACGCAACGTCCCGTCTGTGAACCGGTTCTTCGAGGATCCAGACCCTGTATCGCCGTTTCCCCCAGAAATCAGAAGGCGGCTTGGACAGCCCCAGCGGGGGCCTTCAACAGATATAAAAGGGCCCTCCTCACCTGGCGTTGAGAGGACTCTTCTCATCCCATCTTCCCTCGATCATCAAGAGTCCGGACCTCCTCGCAAAGCCAATCTATATTACTCCAAGCCTTCTCGAGCAATTTACCTTGCCCCACCAAAGCCACCATGAAGTTCCTCTCAGTTATCGCTGGAGCCTTGTTGATGACCGGCGCCATGGCCATGGCAGAGGAAGCTGGCCCAACTCGATGCGAGTACCTCTCCAAGCGCGACTGCCGCCTCAGACGCCGTGACCATGACGATAACCGGACTGCGGGTGTCTACTGCGGATACTGCCCAGAACTCACCGGCCGACACGTTGAAGAACGTGGCCACCGCGACTTCGCCTATAGAATTGATCGCAATGGCGACTGCTGCTCCCTTGGTGAGCGCAGGTCCTGCCGTGGCCGACCCAATGAGAACCGCAACTGCCCACGCCGAGTAAGTGCTTAGACCCAATGGCGTATATATATATATAAGTATATCAACGAACCAAGTACTCACTATTTGCCTTTTTTGCAGTCCCGCCCCCATGGCGAAGAAGCTTAAAGTCCCAGTCGAACGGTTGAATGGCTTGGAAACCAACTGAAGGATGGAATCACGAACTTATGTCGCTCCTTTGATGTATCAATGATTATTTCGACCATCAACCTGCAAAATAGCTTTCAAGAGTGGAAGGGGAGGACTGACCTTCTGGGCCTGTATGCAGGTCAGCAATAGTATATAACTGCTAAATATTCAGTGCCCTTCTTTATTCAATCACCTGCTTGCCGCACTGTCAGTAAAACTTTGTAGCTTTGATCCCATCGTCAGCTTTTGGCAACGCCTATATCAATGGATATTTGCTAAAATCAACGAAAATGGGTATCGTGCACCTAAACGCTGGATTTGTTGGTGACCTTGGGCCCCAGACCGTCATAGGAATTTTCTTTACCAACGAGACGATTACTCAACATGCGCGAGCTTGGTAGGTAATTCTGATCCCAAATGAAATAAGAATCTTCATGGTAAATCGTTTCACCAGTTCGACCATTTGGCATCCTGGTTTAAATTAACTAGCATATGAACTGGAGTAGATAGCAGAAAAGGTCGATGGAATTCCCTAATATTTCATTTTCAAATCATTCCGTATCTGCCAATGACTGAGGCAAATCTATCTTTACGGTAGATCAAGCAGTATATACCAGAATCCCCTTTTTATCCGCCCTCATCCCCTCGGTCGGAAGAACCCGCAGCGTCTTGTTGTAATAAGAATCCACTACCATCAGCTGCGGTTGAATCCATTTTTGATTCCCTGCGGCCAGCAGATTATACCGGACCGTGTGCCTGCTCAGAGGGACTAGCTGTACCGCGAGAGATTTTGGACCGCTAAAGGCGAATTGGTCACTGGCTTCCATGGTGATGGTGAAAGTGAGGAAGTGGATGGATGGGTTCTCGAGCGTGTAGTCGAGGTGGATAAAGTTGGGTAGAGCGGATGCCCGGGTGACAGTTGCGAGAACACGAGGCTCTCCCATAGGGATCACGAACCGTGGGACCGACAGTGTCGTGGTAGGAATGAATAATTCAACGGCCGACGACGATGGCGCCTCCGCGTCTTGTCGACGCCATTTAACCTCGAGTGCCAGATTCAGCGTTGTCGTCTGGCGATCGCCAAGCGTAAGTCGTTGAAGCTCAAGAATAAACTGTGATTCCCGAACTTGCTCAGGATGCAGCTCGGCGGCTTCAACATTGCCTGTATGTATTTCCGGGCCAATGTGGCGAACCAATCCCCCTTCTATCCCCGTCACTGCCACAGATACTTTGTCGATGAGTAGGGTCTCGTGAGCAAAAGAAATCAATTTGCAATCCAGGCACCATCGCTGCTGTAGACCGTGTGCCCGAGGCTCAGATTCGTCAATCAGCTTGGGCTCATCCACGTGGAAGAAATCCGGCCACGGGCCTGGATGCACACGGGGCATGAGTTCATAATTTGCTTCAAAGGGTCGAATGAATGGGAGATCAAGGGTCACAGTTTTGAATATTGGCGTCTCTGGATCCGAAAGTAGATGATAAAATGCGGAGATTTCTAGCCCGTATTCGAGTGGTACAGACGTATTTGTCACATTGAGGGATATTGCTTTTCGACCTCCAGAGTCCAGAGCTCCGATTTCTTTCCGTTTTACTTGGCCCAGAGAGCCGCTGTCGTCCGTAGGGCTAGTAGGGGAGGAGTCGCGAGGCTGAACACAAGCTTCAGGGTCGTCGACCCAATGAATCTGAGCAGAATCTTCGGATTGGCCAAGCAGCCTGGCTTCAATAGAAATTTCCGCTGCTTCATCCTCCTCGTTTTCAATTTGAATATCAAGAACCGCATGCTCGTCCGTATAGTAATGATCGTGCAACGTTGGTGTCAGAATACGAACTTTCGGTGGCTTTGGCAAAATATCACAGGTAATGGTATCTCTATCCTTGCCAATTCTTCGCGAAATGGCGCCCTTTATTCCTGGGCTCCACCAAACTGGGTCTTTGAAAGATTGACTAGATATAACGGATGTAAGATTGAACATTTCATCTTCGATCATCAAAGTGATGGACGTTACTTGGACCTTGCCAGCTTCACGCGGTATGCACGTCAAGTTAAAAGCCTTAGTCTGACCAGGAGGGAATGCTAGGTCAACAGTGCCAGTCATCGACAACGTGCCGCCTAGAGTGGGGGATTGGATGCTAGCCGCATCTGACGATTGAGAATCGACCAGCATGGTGTGCGATATTCGAGTTTGGTTGTCCGAAACCGTCGCAGCTACAGGGCTTGCTTGGAGCTTGATTGGGCGAAGGCTGCCTTCAAAAGCAACTATCACCTCAGACAGGCGAATCGCCGAAGCAGTTTCATGGGCTGTCGATGTTATAACGAGTTGAGCAAGCAACGGTTCCCCCACATTTCCTTCGCTTCTCTCAAAAGCAAACGAAGCAGACACTGTTCACTCATTCAGTATAAACTATAAACCGGGAAGCATAGCATTTCTGCCAACATACAACAGGGGACCACTTCCTCGTCCTCCTTGAAAACGACTGACGGTTTAGGATTTTGGAGGGGAAGATCCGCAATGCTTTTGTTGATGTCGTAGTTCCATTCCGATCTTCGTGTAAAACCTGTAGAAAAGAAGGAATCAGAATACTCATACAGAGCATATTGAAAGAGGAAAGGGTGCATCTCGGTAACCGGATACTTACGGCCATTCATCAATTCCCAGTCAACTCTAAGGATTGTTTCAGGGTCTCCGGCATGGTGTGCACATTCTCTCAGCGCCCACCCGAATTCTTCCATCAGCTGCCACCAACCATCCCGCCGCCAAGTCAGAGCCGGCCACATCGGCCGTAGAATATCCAGCCCAGCTTGCCATTCGCCCAATCGCATATGCTCTCTTGCAATATCTAACTTTTGACTTTCTACTACGCGGAACTGCCCTCTTTTGGAGAATTGGTCAGAGGAAGCTGTAAGATAATCAATGATTAACCTAGAGTAATTGGTGCCCTTATTCCCTGTTAAAGGGTATTCATCGTAGGGTTCCGGAGCTAGATAGGTGTCATATATGTTTGATCGATGTTTTGATTGAGCGGCTGAAGTCTGACTGGTAGGCGACCTGTCTTCGTCAGGTATCTTTTCCGCTAGTAACCTTCTTTTTGATGTATGTTTGGCAGCCCGATTAAGCCAGTATCCCTCATGGTGAAGTAGTTCCCAGGGGTATAATCTGTCATTTGCAGAGGCTGCCTTTTCAGGGGGCGCAAACAATACCGTTTGGCGCATATTTGGATATGTCCGGAGCGTGTCGGCCGGCGGGGTTAGGGCGGAAAGGTTCGCCCGCTGCATTAGGTCCGTCATCACAAGTGACCATCTAGCCTCCCAGGCCTCCCAGCCATAGTTCTTGGTGCCTTTTCCGCGACGGTCAACCATATCTCTGATACGTTTCTGGTGCGTCAGCCAAATCCTGACAGCCGATGTAGTGTGCTCAGTCCACAATAGACATCGAATAATTCGAATAGCAAGAACGTCAGCCAGCATCCGTGCATCGTTGAACCTAGAGCTCCAGCCGGCTATTGTTTCAAACACTTCTTCCCCGAAAAGTAATTCGTATGCACTTTCATAGCTCCGACATGCAGCATCCATTTCTTGGCGGAATTCGGCAAATACGCCTAATTTGAACTCATAGCGTATATTCCAGCCTTGACTCGCCAAAGTCTGTGATGTTCCCGATGTAGGTGGTACGGTTGGAGGAGGTATAGTTCCTCTGTTTCGTTTTCGTCTGGCATGCTTGGAGAGATCCCGATAATACTCCACGCATGGACTTTGCAGGGACGAGAAAAGCGACTTTACAAATTCACGGATGTCCAACTGGGAAGGGGATGGTGGAAGAACGAAGACACTCTTTAAATCCAAATTTGTGGCCCTCCGTATACTCGAAATCCGCTCGTTCACGTCTGCGGGTAGTGGTCCATCCTCACATATCAACGCTACCACAAACTTCGTTTTATAGCCAGAAACAGCCCAATCCCTTTTTAGACTATTGATTTCTATTTTCAGCTGATTGTCACGAAGCGATGCCATGTTCGAGTCAAGGGTGAGCGGGAGAAAATTGACGAATGCGGCGGGCACCAAGCTCTGGTGCTTGGTTACCCATAGGGAGGTCGCAATACCATCAGGGTATGTTGGCGAGCCGGGAGTTAAAGGAGAAAGTGGAGAATGCAGGATAAGCGGGGACAATGTGGTTTCATGGTGATCAGTGCCGCTGGACGATGATGATGTTGCTGGCGGACGTGCCTTACGGGGAGGCAGAGTATATGTCTGTAACCCACTGTCAGCGCTCTTTTATTTCCCCAGTTCAACCTAGCTCTCTGGTAACTGCGGGTGCTATGGGCAATGCAGCATCACTAGCACACAAACTGGAATCCATAGCAACATTATCGTCCAAAAGACAAGCACCCAGCACAGCCTGCCACGGACAATCTGCATGACGGGGGTGCTGACCTACCCGCCCAGCCCGCTGTACCTTGAATCCTACACCCCCTGCCTTTCCACCATGTGTCCGAACGTTCCATGGAGCATGCGATGCGTCCTCCGCCAAGAGCTCCGCCAGCAGTCCTTCCGCTGTCGCATCCACCAAAGGCGGGAAGTCGGAGAAGATCTGGAAGCCATGCTCTTCCAAACCCGGATATGCACCTTCAGAGGGGAGAGAGTCCTGCAAGCTTTGGCCATTCGGCTCCAGCCCGGAGAGAAGGACGAGCGGGAGGTTATGGTCGACGTAGTCTGGGGGGTAGGCGTCCATGGTGGGATCGGATTGGGCCGGTGAGGGTTTCGGGGAATGCTGTGAAGCAATTTCACAGCACTGCGGAAGACAAGTCGAACGTCATCTTTGAGATGGAAAATAGCAGTCCTTGAGCGAGCAGCTGCTGTGGGCTGAATCAGTGGCAGTTCATGAATTGGCGGGATGTTGGGTTCAACTGCGCCGAGCTGGCATTAGAGGTTGATGCACCACCAATCCTCCGATTGGCCCAGCGATTCGATGGAAGCAAAGATGGGCTTTGCCTCAGGAAACACCCGATTATTACAAGGTAGCAGAGTCATATAGTTAGGGAGGCTATCTGGTAGTTATTTGCTGCGTTGTGAATCGCAGAGGTTTTGTCACCATGGTTTACATCGCGTTTAGCTATGGAGTCGGCATAGTATCAAAGATATCACAGAGGACCAGCAGCAGCGCCACGGACGCAAATGATATCCCTGAGATCCCGTATATCTCTCAGTGTCCTCCGTAATTCTCGCTGCAAAGTTAGACTTTGAGACACTGCTGGATGGATGCGATGAGTAAAATAATATCTCAGCGCGAAAAGCGAAGATCTCACCCACCATGTGCTGGATGGCCAACAATCCCAATCTCTTCATTTAATTAAACGACTGCAAGATTGGTTTGGCCTCCACTCGCTTCCAATGGCGAATCTTCGTCGCCTGGAGGTGCTTCAGCTGCAGGTGGAGAGCGCCAATTCTTCCATTTGGTTCGTGACCACAGAGAAAAAGATCTTCGGCTTCACACCACCATCCAGCCGCACCATCCTGCACGATTCATCTTGAGAGGCCGGTGTCGAGCAGCGTCAGAACAGAGACACATTCCAAACCACTCAGGGGCTTTCTGGTCAGCCTGATCCCTACGCAGCCAAGGCCCCGAGCCCACCTTGCGGTTCATCCTTGCGTCGACTGCAGGAACCGGACAGCTCCCCACGGTCAAAGCGTCGGGTTTTCTTTCAGCGCGCTCGATTTTTGATTCCCGGTTCATCGCTGCAGCTGCGATTCAAAGGAGCTCGAGGCCAGACGTACGTACAGCCCGAAAAAGCAAGCGGCCTTGCCTTCATCGACAGTGGTGTGTGGAACATGGGCGCAACCCTTTGGTGAATAATCGCAGGCTGGCGGATCGAGACATACGGAGAACCATGGTCGCTGTGGACGCCGTGTCTCCTTGGATTCAACTGATTGTCTGACCTCGACGTGCTCAGGGAAGCTTGTCCTTTTCATCCGAGGTTGCAGCCATATAGGTTGAGCCAACAATCGAGATGGAAACGCCGTCGACCATACCTGTGCCACCCCGCCGTCGAGCCCACCGGACACAGCAGGGCTCTTCTCAACGTCCTCAATCTTTGCCCGCTCGTTCTCTCACGGCATCTGAGCAGCCGCCCACCAACCATGTACACGTCCAACCCGCATCCCCCGAAGTGATTTCCTCCCTCATCTCCTCGCTTTCTACCATCTCGAGCCCTGCGCGGAACCATTTCGATAGTCTTCCGAAAATCGGCTCCCACACTGAACCATCTTCTCCTAGCTATCTGCAACAAGAATTCCCTCGCGATGACAAAGAACCGGCACCCAGTTCCGGATTTGGGATGGACTACGGGGCATACAAGCTTCCGACCGATGGACCCGACTCTGCCCTTTTGCACCCAGACGATGCGGCTATATCACCCATTGTCCGCATGTCCAAACCCCCAGCGCGATCACATTCGCGGCGGTCGTCTCGAAGCACCAAACATGAATCGTCTCTGATGCGATCGGGATCTAGAGCGTCGTATGCGTCCTCGAAACACGGAAAGGATGAACTGTCGAGTTTTGGGATAGTGAGCTTGGAGCCCGGTCCCCGGTTGTCAACGACAAGCATCGCATCGTCCAGCAGCGGAGGCAGAAGGAGCTTGAAAAACCCATTGAGTATTCTCAAAAGGTCGTCGCGGGAGTTCTGCAAAGACAAGGAGGCGGATCGCCTAAGTGTGGCAGACGGGAACCGTCTCAGCAGCTCGAGAAGCCGGTTAAGTCTGCGCTCCACCACTTCAATGGCGGATTTAGCGGAGGAGGGAAGCAATGACGCAGTCCAGCTACGTCCGCTTGAAGACCCAAATCCACGTCGCGATTCAGCACCGTCCCTGAGCTCCTCTCATGCTACGACGGACTTCAGCTTCAGCCCCGGGGGAATCGGAGGTGGCAGATTCATCCCAGCACGAGAGTCATCTCTACGCCATAAAAGTGGTGGCTCGAAAAAGAGACGATCCACCCGACACAGTGTATATTCGAATCGGGATTTTACTATCGACCGCGAAATTGCAGAGGTTAATGGGGAGAATGACCAGACATCAAAACGAATCACCGAGAACAGCAACAATCAACAAGACAATGCTAAAAATGGCTCACATGCAGATGATCAGCTTCCAACACACTATTCCTCAACACTCAAAACAAGCCCACAGTCATCTGTGAGGCATGTCACTCCCTCCGGCGCAAACAAACAGAAGGATTCATTAGAAAGGACCCGATTCACCAAAGTGGAAGAATTGAGTTTTGACCGCGAAGAAAGTGCACCTTCACCCACTGTCCAAACTCGCCGGAAAACTTTGGTCAAGAAGAGGAACAGCGCGCCGCTTGCATTGAAACAAACAAACATACAACCAATGATGGGGAAGCAAGAGAAAGCTGACTCCTTGCACAAACCTTCAAAGCGACTTTCCAGTAGTGCAACTTCTGGAACCAGGAGTCCTCACCGTATCTCAGCTGCTTTATCTGCACCAGTGCCCCAAACTCCAAATGCAGAGGAGCGACCGTCAAGTGCAGATTCAGTGGATGAGGGAGTCCGAGCATATATGACGGCTTCGCGGCTGACCCAGAAAGTAACACACCCCCAGTCCGGTCGGATAATTGCATTTTCTGAAGTGGGTGATCCAAACGGGCATGTGGTGTTTTGTTGTGTGGGAATGGGCCTCACAAGATACCTTACAGCATTCTATGATGAATTGGCTAGAACGCTTAACTTGCGGCTTATCACACCAGATCGCCCTGGGGTCGGTGAGAGTGATCCTTGTGTTGATGGTTCAGGACCTCTTAGTTGGCCCGGTATGTTTTCTGGCCTTTCTTCTCTTCCTTTTGTCCCAATCTTCTTATTTTTCTGCTGGCAATATCAACCACTCCGCATACTAACAAGGAACAGATGACTTGGCTATCATATGCAATCAGCTGAAAATTACCAAATTTTCAATGCTGGCACACTCTGCCGGCGCTATTTATGCCCTTGCGACGGCCTTACGGATGCCTCAACACATTCGGGGGAGGCTTCATTTACTCGCACCTTGGATACCACCGTCTCAAATGTCTGGAATGGGTTCTCACAAAGATCCACTCCCAGCGAACGCCCTGCCTTACTCCCAACGGATTCTACGGGCGCTTCCCACGCCGATTTTGAAAGTGGCGAATTCTCGTTTCATGACAACCACTAGTGCAAGCGTTACCAGCAGTCTTCCAAAATCGTCTCGCAGAAGCAAGCGACTCAATGGCCTCACGAAAGAGAAGGAAACATCGTCGACTGCGGAAACTGCGGTCACCATTGGAGCGGAGGTAGGAAGAGCTTCGACAGCCGCCCCTCGGACCTCAGTCCACCGCCAATCACAGGATATCGTATCGCGCGCAACTTCTGATCCCTCTGACCCGAAAGCCGAATCTGCGATTCTCGCCGCCGCAGGAGCAGATCGTGAGCGACAAAGCGAGTACGACAACCGCTTAACGCACGCTATCTGGGAGTTTGCGACCACCAATGCAAATCCAGCCGTCGACCTACTAATTTGCCTCGAGCGTCGACAAACCATTGGATTTAGATACAACGATATCACGCGTTCTGTGGTTATACACCATGGCTCGAAGGATACTCGAGTGCCAGTTGACAACGTCAGATGGCTGGGCAAGACCATGCGGCGGTGCGAAGTGCGTGTCCTAGAAGGCGAGGGCCACGGTCTTATGGCATCTGCGACCGTTATGGGCAACGTGCTGATGGAAATGGCAAAAGAGTGGGAAGACTGGACGACAGTCGTGCAAGGACGACGAGATGGAAAAGTATGATGACCGTAGCCCGCAGGCGAAAAGATTCTCTTTGTTCAAACCGAATTTCATTCCCCTTTTTTTACGTTTGTCTGCATCCCCGCTAAATACCCCCCTATTTGATTTTACTGTACTAACATAGATCGCGAACGGCCTCTTGTGAAAACATTCAGACACGAGTACCAAGTTGGATTATGTGCCTTTTGATTATCCCCATCATGTGTATTGTCCATATATCCTCCCTTTTTCTTGTTACACACTCATTGCGTACACTTCTTTTTCACGATTCACTATAGGTGGGTTTTTTAATACTGGGTTTTGGAGAGCTGACTCCGTGCTGTGTACTTTTATTTTCAGTGATATCCCCCCATTCCTCTGTACAACTTAACTCCCTCTTTCTTTGTATTCCTTTTCTTGATTTGCAATCAAGTCCCGTCTCTTGACCGGTCTCTTCATGTATGTATGTACAGTAGTTATTTTTAATTCCTCAATGCCCCTAGCTATAGTACATTCATCTTGACATGAACCAAAGTGGAATATCATTTGCCGGCATTTTCTGTCGATGCTGGCCAGGTCGATGAGAGTGACTACCGGATATCCCATTGGGCCTTACATAAGCAATATATCAGAGCGCTAAGCCCTTTCAGCTCTTAGCACAGAATCTGTATTATATAAGCATACCCGGCATGGAGCAACTATTTAACCTACTTTTGTGATTTTCTCAGGCCCATCTCTACCATACCCCCAGAGTACTCTATACTCCCATCACAATGAGTGGCGATAACAAATTCTATAGGGAACAGGTAAATATGCATTCACAGATATTGTGCATAAAAAATCTCAATCTTGTAATTTATTATTATTGTGGATTTGAAGGATTTGGCCTTGTTGACCAAGATGCTGTGGGTGGATAGTGTTATGTAAGGCAGCAAGGGTCTCCATTTACCTAAGCAAGGGTTATTCCTCAATTAGGCTTAGTTTGTTGTTTATGTAAGTTAGTTACATAATCTTTTAATCATATGATTCGAATAAGTGGTTCGGCGCATATGCTGCTCTACAACCTTTGCGCTAGTTTCTACCCAGTGAACTGTCTGCCCATTGCCCATGGGCCATTCAGTAGTTAAGCCTCTACGTGCGATATCCGAGGCCTGGAATATTCCAATTTAATTTAACACGCTCGCCGGCCACTTCCAGTCGTTGCACTGCGTGAAACAACAGCCCTTGATAAACGGTATGCGAAAAGTCAAACGTACCGCCAACATATGTGCCAGTTCCACTCCCAGCCTCCACTGCCCGATGTTTCTGCGGTTAACTAACTGCCATCTAGTCAATTATTCCCCTGCCAAGCAGAAGTTCCGCGTTCCTTTCCAACTTGATTTTGCTTGATTTCGCTATGGATACTAATTGGGTCATCGACGCCGTTCACGAGGTTCAGGGCGAGCTCTGGGTTGACAAAGTGAATGAAACCCATAGAGCAGGCCGCCTCTGTCCATGGGTGTCAACATTCCACATTAATAACCTTCCTTGCCAACTTGCTGGTACATTTCAACATGGCTCATATAATGCTGGTGTGAAGGTGGTTTTTAGTGACAACACAGCATGGATGGTGCGCTTCCCTCGTAGAGGGAAGGTTTGTGACACTTATGCCGATGAAAAGGTTGCCATGGAGGTTGCTGCTCTGAATCTCATTTATGAACAAACTACTATTCCTGTCCCAAAAGTTCATGCATGGGGTTTGGCTGCCAGCAATGCTCTTGATCTGGGCCCATTCATTATGATGGATTTCATGGATGGGGTCAGTCTTGACAACATTCTTATAGATCCTAATGTTGACAACCCTACCCGCCTTATGAGAGAAGATATCAGTGATGACGATGTCAAATTCATTTACCGGCAGATGGCCAACTATCTTCTTCAACTTTTTGAACTGGATTTTGACCGGATTGGTAGCTTGTCATGGCCAGGAGCTGAAGCCAATAGCACAGCACGCCCACTGACATTCAAGGTGCATAGTATTTTGCAGAATGGGGGGGTAAATACATTTGGTTGGTAGCATCACTCACCTTTTTAGCAACCCTTGTTAATATGAAAATAGGTGACCGACATCAAGGGTTCAAGACAACAACAGATTACTTTCAGTATGTCTTTAGTCAAGACTGGCAACAGCTTTTGCAGCAGCCAAACTCAACCTTTGGTCCTTATGATGCTAAAAATAAATATGTGGCATTCAAGACCCTTGGAGCTCTGATATGCAACTTGATCAATCCAAAATACAATTGTGGGAAATTCAAGTTGATATGCGATGATCTTGGCTTAGCGAATCTAGTTGTTAAAAGCAAGGAAGATCTCACTGTGGTTGGAGTGGTGGATCTTGAATGGTCATACATTGGGCCTGCCCAATTGTTTGGCTCAGCGCCCTGGTGGCTTTTACAAGACAGACCGGTTCACCCCGAGTGGGATGCGGATGCCAATGGCAGCAAGTTGTCTCATGTTGGAACCCGCTATATAAAACATTTGGAGATGTTCATATCCATCCTTGAGGAGGAAGAGAAAACTATGCCAGGGCATGAAGATAAAGAACTCTCAAATCTTGTTAAATGGTCTCAAGAGTCAGGGGCCATGTGGTTGCATATGCTTCTCTCATCCGGATTCAATGACCACCATGTCTTTCCTTTTATGCAACTACGCCAACATCTCGGTAGGGAATGGACAACAAAAGAGGAAGAATTGAACATTTCAAATGATGAGCTGGAGGCATTTGCAGCGCGGAAAGTGAATGAGTTGGATAACTATGACGAGATTCTGGACTACAGGCGGGAGCACCTGGCGCTCGTACGAAACGGGAAAATGTCGAAGGAGGGATTCCTCGCTCTTATAAAACAAAACTCTCCCGCGAATGCCAACGATTTGAGAGAGCCTATTTCTTTAGACTAATCTGGCAACATGCTGGAGAATACGCGAGATGACCCGGCGGTCACCCACGGCAGTCAGGTGGGAGAAGAAGAAATTGGTCCAAAGCGCCTGATTGGGCCCAATATTCCGATGGAAGATGGTTATTCTCGTATAGCAGTCAACAATGAGATGATAAATGTCAAGGCGCTGTTCGATAGGATCTCTATCTGGATTGGAAAGCTCATTGCAGCCCTCGGAGCTGCATTGCGACTACGATGAAAGAGACACCAGGCAGCTCGAAACAAAACCGCCCAACTCGGTGTCCAGAGGAGAGTTGAGACTTGGCCCCTTCCCGTTCGAACAGCTGCTCAGCTGTGAAACCATTGGTGAACACGTCAGATCCCTATCTACGAGGACATGCTTTGTTGCATCACCACCGAGTTACAAAATCATAAGTCAAACAGAGTCGGTCGTGAAGGGGCATTGTAATCCCCTCAGTCTCTCTTTGGCCCTTACCGATTGTTTTCGACGATGCTTTCCCGGTTCAAAAATGCCGGAGCTACAGTCAGGAGTGATAGTCAGAGAGGTGTAGTCCATTGGGATGCTCATTGCTCTTATGTCCTAGTTTTGATACAACGCCACGTGCCAGCAGGGACCCAGTGATGCTTAAAGAGGTGAAAATTAGCCAACTGGTTAATCTGTTGAGGTCCCGGTTATGTAACTAGCTACAGGTTATATCAAATGGATCTCCAGAAGTTATGGAGAATTATGCTCCAGGGCCACTGAATGGCGGAATAAACACAGATGGTTAATGACTAGAGATGATCAACTAGTTAGTTAACAGGAACACATGTTGAGAAGACTTGACTGACCATCACTGACAATTAATTATTGAGGATGATAACACCATGAAGCAGGTTCCAGAGCATCATGTAGTCTTTGTTTAACAGAGTTTCAGTGCTTCTTTTTCTAGTACCTGTTAGCATACTTAAATAAGGATAGTGTCTAGAAAATGGTCAAGAACCAACAGCAGCGTCTGCTTCCTCTCGTAACCGTTTTTCTTCAGCTTCACGCTTTTCTCGTTCGGCTCTAGCAAGCTCGCGCTTTCGGACAGAGGATCGTGCGGCATCAACCATACATGCAATATCAGATTGATCAGAATTGACGATAGCTTCATTGACTGCCTTTCGAGCGTTGGAATTGATATTGGACATTGTGGGTGTGTGTAGATTGATTTGTGGGCTGGGTGTTACAAGATCAGGCACAGGAGACAGTGTGGATAGAGGTCATGGCAATTTATTGTGAGGTCAAGTTACCAGGAACAATCTGACTGTAGGGAAGGAAGAGTGTCTATTCAAAGAGGGGTGAGAGAGGGGCTCAGGCCGGGCAAACAAAGGCCCATAAGATCCTTGTACAGAGTAGTACCTATGTAGGTACTCTGTTAGCTAGGGGTGAAATCCAGCTTGTCACCAAGGATGTTGACAAGGAGAGATACTGTGTGGAGATCAAATATCTCAATGGCCGAGTCAGTTATAAACCATTGGCAAAATTATACTCTCTATTTCCTCAGAGCCAGACAACAATCAATCAGCTGATTCGTCGGCGATACCAACGGCAGGAGAAATTGTTTCTTCAGGCGATCAATTTGTTTTGTATGAAGTCCAGAAGTGCTTGAGGATTCAAAAGGATGCGCACGTGAGCTGCCCCTTGCTCGCCCAACATCAACAACTCTTCAAATCAACCCACCCCAGGAAGATTTTGCTCAATATTACTGTTTAAGCACCTTTGCCTGCATTATCATGGAAAACACAATAGAAATCGAATGGCAAGAAAACTTTCGGAAGGATGCTGCGCGGGGTTCGAGTTTCTTCTCGCCGGATAAACGGATAAACAGATCATATTGTCGTTTGCCAATGACGAAACGGTCAATTTATCAGCTGCAGAGACAGGAAAAACCCTCCCAACTTTTCAATACCACTCTCACCTTATGGTCCCCGAATTCTCCCGGGATAGCGAGCGACTAGTCTTCTGGTATCCTTCTGATGAGAATATCAGAATACCCAATCGACGAACTCTGCAGCCTGTGGCAGCTCTATGAGGTCAAAACCCCCGCGCCAACAGAGGCCCCTCGATCCCCGGGAGAGCCCTCTTTAATCTTGCCCTTCCCTTTTACATCTCATTTATACGGTTTGAAAGGGATGGCTGGCTAGGCGAGCTTTAGACTTGGAAGCTCGGAGAGTTACCTGTTTGTTGTGCCCTACGTGGACTATTCTTTAGGCCATTATACTCGGAAAGATCTGTTAAAGAAAGACGACATTGTCGACTCTTCTGTCTTGGTCAAGTTCGACTGCCCCTTGTTTCCCTGCTAACAAAATGTTGAGGCAACAGCCCTCCCCTGTCCCTCCTATTGATGAAACTGGCGGGATATATCGAAGCAACAGCTATCTCTTGTTTCTGCCTTGGGGATTTGGAGGGGAATTTCTTTCATACGTCTTGTTTTTTGTCCAAGGACATATAGATAGTTGGATATTCCCCACCGTCTTGTGTCTATAAGTCCACTTGATTTTTTACAAGCTAATACTTTAAACCCAAACAGACTTGCTGCGACTTCCCGCAAGGATGGAAATTACTACCAGAATGGAAAACAGACACAGGGACTTTGACTCACCTTCTGAGTATATAAAGTCCCTGGTTGAGCAATTCAGATCTAGTGATACCCTCCCTCCAGATGTCAACAAGGAGGATATACTGTCTATTGACATAGATTTCCATCAGTGGTATAGGCTGGAGGGTGAGCTTGACATAGGGGAAACTGAGAAGTAAGTTGTCTTTAGCATATCTGTCAGATCTTACTTGGTAACACATGTTTTATAGGTTCCCAAGGTTCTTCTATGACCCATTAGCTTCACAGCTAAGCGTGGAGTGGATGACATTGCCACTTCATGAGATTGTTATTGCGATATTCTCCAGTGGTTTAGGGGATGCCACCCATCATGTCTGGCCACAATGCAGCATCCAAACCAACCAACATTTTCAACAACTCAAGGAACCAGTGTATTTCCACACTCAAAGTCCCTGACCTAGCTCTCTTATCAGGGAGAGAAATCCTCATCCTGGAGGTTGGTTTATCCCAGACATATGGTCAACTGGTTGATACTGCAAAGTTCTGGCTTGAGGGAAGTCTAGATGTGACAAGAGTGGTTATTGTAAAAAATTACAGAACCTAAATACTCTTGTCCTATCAAGAATCCTGGAATCTTAATGCTTGAATCTCTTGGTTTTCCAACAGATGAACAGGATATAGAAAGCAGATTCCACCTTGAGAGTGGGCTTGGTTCTGTTAAGCTGGATACCACCCAATGGGTTGGTAAGTTAGATGTGTTTCTAGAAGTGTGGAAGCACAGTGGGCAGCCCAAGAGGGCAGAGAGACATGGATCTAGAATTGTAGGTCTTGCTATTACTATTATCTGAGGAATCCTTTGGCCTAACCTGTTGTATTTAGCATGTATGCGAAGCTACACCACCCGCACTCCCAATCCGACTTGGCGCCTTCCTTGAGATTGATTCATATGACGATAGAGATGTTGTGATAGACTGGGAGGAGTTTCATCGGAGGCTGAAGGAAGACTTGCTCGAGACAGCTATTTCAAGATATCGCGAAATGTTAAAGGAGTGCTATGAAAGGGAGAATGCCTGCAGGTAAAGACAATCTTTGCCTAGAGTTCCAAATAATGCTTGTCTAACTTGGTATTTTAGGGTCAAAGAGATACCCTCAAAACGGTGAAGCACCAAGAAGAGGCCCACGGAGGCCCTATGGGATTACTTTTTGCTTCGAGGAGCGGTGGAAGACATGGACACATTGTGCCAAATGTAGCAAAGGCGGTCAATACAATTAGTTAATTCTATATAAAATTCACATTATTATAATTTAATATAATAATAAGTTAGGAATTTCCGCTATGGTAAGGCTTTGATGGCATTTCAGGCATGACATCTTCCAAGAATTCAAGGAACCAAGGCAAGCCTGTCAGATCTTAGTAAACTATGTTGTAGGCTTTAAGAGATGGCAGCATGCCCCAACTGGACATCCAGTCAATCCACCCATGACATTAGAAGAAAACTTCCTGGTCTCCTCAATTCATTGCATTCAAACATCTGACTATGGAGTAAACCAGTCCCAAAAAAAGAAAAAGGATCCAATGGCCGATGACAACCCCCCCGCCCTCGTCGGCCGCTGCCACTGCGGCTCTGTGCAATACCAAACCACCCACGCCCCCTACGGCCTGACCTACTGCTACTGCTCAACCTGCCGCGCCCTGCACGGCGCACCCTTTGCCGCATTCACAAACGTCCGAGACACCCATCTCCGATGGACACGCAGGGACACGCTGGTGGAGAAACGGTTCTCTGCGCATGCGACCCGGACGTTCTGCAGCGAGTGCTTTGCGCCGCTGACGATGGTGTATGATCGGGAGCCTGGCGAGGTGGGGATTGTGGCGGCGAGTGTGGATGAGAAGGGATCGCGGTGTCGCGTGCCGGAGGTGAAGAGGCATATCTTTGTGGGAGAGAAGGTGGGGTGGTGTGCGATTGGGGATCGGGGCGAGAGGTTTGAAGGCTTGCCGGGGGATATGATCGGATATCTTGAGAAATAACCACACTAAAAGGTTCATTATAGGGGTGATACTAAAGGCAACCCGTGGTCGGCACTAGAAGTATAGACGCCCTTCACAAGGGATTCTACTTGCCACCCATGTATCTACCAAAGAAGTGCGATGATATAGCCATATAGTATGTACAGTACTTAACTCTTGAGAGCAAAGGAAGTGTGAGAGTTTCATCCAAGCCGTAGGCTAAAATTTACTCGTTTGGCCTTTTGCAAAGCACAATTCCAATTGTGAAACCATTGTTCAAACAACAACATTATTTGATGAACTCCAAAGTGCCTGCGGACTCGGTTTCTCCGTGGTGTGGCGTCGCGGACCGCCATCACAAGCTGTCGCTTGTGCTCCTCAAGCAACGGCATCTTTTCTACCTCTGGCAGATTTGTCCAAAGTAAGCTCGTTGATGGGGTTTTATAAAAGAAAGCAGTTGCATCCAATCTTGCCAACTAGCCTTTGACCTGAGTTAGGGAGGACTAGGCTGGAATAAAGCCCATCGACCTTATGGACTCGTCTGCATTTCCGCGCAAGTTTGCAATAGATAGATTGTAAGTATCTTCCGGATTCCTACCAGGGAAGATGCAGCTGCCAAAGAGTTGCGTTTTTGATATGGGAACCACCTGGTTTACATTACCTGTCGGCGCAGGAAAAATTGACTATTATTTATTAGTGAATTCTCAATTCAAGCATGGCAGCTACTTACCTCAGTTTGTAGGAAGACAACATTGCCAGCAGGATCCTTTCCATGAACATGCAAATCCCCCTTCACCCTACCACCGCTTACCATTGTCCATCGAATCAATAGTACCAGTTCCACAGATGCACCTCCGACAAGCCAGAGATCCTTGTCAGCATCCAACCGTGGCCAAGACTCTAACCAGCCTGTTTCAACAACAACTGTTGGTAAGGGTAAGGTGCCTGGGAGGATACATGCATCAGGTTCTTTTGTAGCATAGGTGTATGGAGCTGCAAAACCCTTGAGAGCTAATAAGAGAATGTCAACCAAGTCGAACTTCAAAAAAGGGAAAGAAAAGTAAAATAAAAGTTGAGATGGATGCAAAATACTTGTTCTAACCCGGAGCTTGAGTTCCTTTCTTTCTGCTACTGTCATAAACCCGGCCAGAACCATGTCAAGCAGCTCATTCGAAAGCCACTCCTGATGGCAGTCATCAACCAGAGTTGGCATAACTCGGGCAGTCAGGGCTTGGGTCAATGGGTTATAGGAAATCCTGGAACACCCGACATAAGTTGTTTTGAATCTTCTTGTGGTAGTTGCTCTTGGTAGCGTACCGAGGATGAGCCCTTTCAATCTCAGGATCCTCTACAAATGAGGTTGCGATCCGAAATCCGGTAGAAGGGGTTATATTTTGGAAAGTCAAGTCAGAAGGGTGGTTTGTGTTTAATATCACGTCTCGGATGTTCTGAGCAGACAGCTCTTCCAATGAAATGTTTGTGTAGCTCCGTAGAGAGCGCATTGGGCCGGTGATGCTTCCCATTGCTGTCAGATACTTGATAGCGATCAGGCTCTCTGCGCGAAAAACTGTGTTTGTTCAATCACTTCTGAGAGGATAGAGTTGACTTGATGTTGTAGAGGCAAGCAACTGAAGTTGAATGGTTGATGCATGTTGGATAAATCAGCACCAGAAACATAAAGGAAGTGGTGATTAAGTTAAGTTGGGCCCGGAATACGGGGGATCTGATGCTGAGCTGCAGCGATAGGATTAACTGGTTATGGCTGCATCTCGACTGACGATCCCCGCTGACTAGTGAATCCATCTTGGTGCTGAAGAGTCAAGACCCCATAGTTATCAGAGTACATCACGGGTTGCTTTTTGATTTCGAATCTGTGTATGTAACTACAGTACTTCGTAGTTCCATGCGCGTCGGTCAAAGCTTGCGGTTCCTGCACGAGTAGTTAAACAACAATCGCCTATGGAGGCTTACTAGTTACCGGAGCTAAAGCGCATGTCTTGCATGTTCAGTCATCCGAAGAGAGCGAGGAAGCACTATTAATAATAATTGGCGGCCGAATTATCGAAACTGGGGGATCCAGCCAAGGGGCCGAACCACTTACAGCCATCCCGGGAGCCATCGATTTGTGGTCCTTGACTCCATTCTTGCGCAGTCAATGGTCACACGGTCACAATATCGCCTGAACTACTCCGTACGGGTTTTGCATCAGCAATTGAAGAAAGGGAGAGAGAGAGAACAAGGTGTCTCCCATTGTGGTCTCTCTAGTTCATAGCTAGGCCACATTATTTGGCTTTCCCAAAATCGGATCCAACATCGAGAGAAACCTTGCACCGTTCTCTGAGAACCCGAAATTGCAGAGCAACACAGATGACACCCCCATAAACTGGGCAATAGCCAAAAATGTCGCCCTACCGTCGTGTAAGGCTATTGTTGGTTTCGGTATTCTTGCTTGTTCTGTTGATCCTGTTCCTGACGGTGAGTGCGCTCCTGGCCACCCTTGCTCTGCGTCCCGTCCCAACAGCGGGGAGAGTGCAACGGCGGAGTTATCTGCTCAGGTAATTGTAACTGACCCGTGGAGATCACCTAGGCGGATCAGCGTCGAATACGGAATCAGACCATCTACCAAAAGACAGTGGAGGCGCTTGATGCCAAGCATGCTCGCAACCAGGGGCAACGAGATGACGATGGGAATCTGTTCCAGAAATTAAAGCCTGAGAAACTGAGACCCGAAGATGCACAAGCCGTGGCTGTCGACAGGCCGCGATATGACGGTGCAACAGTGTTAAAAGGCGATCCTGATGACGGAAAGGACAACAGCGGGTCTGTAGCGGGAAGGGTCAAAGTCCCTTCAGCGGGGGAGAAAGCGCCCGCTCCGGAGCAGAAGAATGAGCCTGGCAACGTGGAGGTGGAGACAGAATTCAACTCGATCTTGAAGAGATCGCCAAGTATGCCTTTCTTTTCTAAGACGGGATAAAACACCTGTGTTCCTATACTAACATCTTCCGCGCTTTTACAGTCATTATCTTCTCCAAAACATACTGCCCCTATAGCCGCAAAGCGAAATATATCCTACTCAAGAAATATAGCATTGTCCCTGCTCCCTTCGTTGTCGAATTAGACCAACACCAGCTGGGACCAGAGCTACAAAACCTGCTAGGGACTAACACTGGGCGCAAGACTGTACCCAATGTGTTGATCAATGGCATGAGCATTGGCGGAGGCGACGATATTGAAGCGCTGGATATCTCGAGAGATTTGGTGCCAAAGCTACAAAAGATGGTGGGAAGACGCCTGGTGGAAGCCAGGCGCGTGGATGATAACCCGATATAATACCTTTGACGCTGAGACTGCCATGGACCCATTGGCATATTCGGAGATGAAACCGGTCCGAGAAACAAGATCGTGTTGCTTTTGTCCAGCTAGCACACTTCTTTTATTACAATTTGTTTTCGCCGTGAATACCCTGTTGGTTGCTCCGCAAGTCTCAAGTTTTGGAAACGGCGAGGTGGCTGCCCGAAATAATGGTTTTGTTGATTCCAAGGATGCGACTGTTTGGTATAATATAAATTGCACCTGTGCATTGAAGGGCAAAGTTTGGAGTTCTGGTTCTCGTGTGTCTGTCTGCATTCTGCGTGTGTATGAGTATATTCCTACAGAATAATATTGAGTGATACCTTGTGGCCGAGAGAGCAATCGTTAGGGCGGAGGATCTTATCTCCGTATCTCCGACCAAGAGCCTTTACTATATCGAGACTAGTCATTGTCTGCCTTGGCACGCGCTAAACCGCAAACGTGCCCTAAGCGACGCACACACTCGAAGCATTTCGCCTTGACTTGGCTTTTGTGTGTGGGTTTTGGGAACTTTCGACGACGACGACGACGGCCAACGACAACATCTCCTTTTCTCCTCCTGTCCTTCGAATACCCCGTCGGGAGATATTTAGACAGACGCCGTCAAGATGCGCTACATCCACTCCGAGGAGACTTTGACAATCCCCGACGATGGTAAGCATTTACTTTGTGTCCCCCGAAGCTTCGACGATGGGTTAGTGATGGTGATGATGAATTGGAGGGCGGGCGATCCTGCGGACATGGCAGATAGGCCATGCGCCTTGATGCAAAGAAGCTGGAAGGAATTGTGGCGGAAGGAAGAGATTCTACTATTGTTCCGAGTTGCATGCTGACCATATTCGATGTTTAGTGTCGGTGAGCATCCGCTCGAGGATTGTGACTGTTGAGGGACCACGAGGTATGATTCAATAATCTTTCGGCCACTTTGACGGATGGATTCGCGTGTCCGACGATATTTGTTCGATGTCGCCGAAACTGGTTGGGATATATGCTTATTCTGAATTCCGCAATGCAGGCAAATTGGTCAAGGATCTCTCTCACTTGTCGGTCTCGTTCTCTCGCCCTAAGAAGAACATCCTCGCCATCGAAATTCACCATGGAGAACGCAAGGCTGTCGCTACCCTCCGCACCGTTAGAACGATCATTAACAACTTGATCATTGGTGTTACCCGCGGCTTCAAATACAAGATGCGTTATGTCTACGCCCATTTTCCCATCAATGTCAACATTGAGAATAGCAAGGAGACTGGCTCCACCCTTGTCGAGATCCGGTATGAGTGTTCCCAGTGATATTTTTGGTGATTTAGTTTTGCCGTTTTGCGGGCAATAGCCTGCCGCTGGAAAAAATCGTCGCTGCAACGGGGACGGATGTGGGGCCCAACCTTGCTCGATAAATGCCATTGTTTTGTTGCTGGGATATAGGATCGGAATTATACGCGTTGGCAATCGGTTATATGGTGAACCATTGGCGCTGACAATCTCCGTCAAACAGAAACTTCCTTGGCGAGCAAATCGTCCGCCGCATTGTATGCCAACCCGGTGTCGATGTTATCGTTTCCCAGAACGTCAAGGATGAAATCCAACTGTCCGGAAACTCCATCGAAGCCGTGTCGCAAAGCTGCGCCGATATCAACCAGATCTGCCGTGTGAGGAACAAGGATATTCGAAAAGTGAGAATCACTATTGTTTGAGAAAGGTTTAAATACGTCGCTGACAGTCTACGTAGTTCTTGGACGGTATATACGTGTCGGAGAAGGGCAACATCGTCGAGGAGTAAGGATACAGCGATTAAGACCCTTTTTTTCTTATCGGGAGGACTCCGGGATGACCTTGATTTGGTGATGGGAAGCAGCTAGAATACTATCATAGCAAAAGTGCCCGGCCAAAAGGAGCAATGGAATCCTCTTTTCTTAATGTTCTCTATGTATGTGCCGAGAAAATGAAAACTTGCGTGCCTGTTCAAGGTCTCTCGAATTCTTGACCTTTTTACACTACGGAGTCTAGGTGAAACCAATACATGCGGCGTTTGGGCTTACTTGCGGTGCAGAAACTATGGTCTTGTCAATGACTGGGCAACAGATGTTTACATACTTTCTCCTGTAAGTCCTGCGTCAATGTTTGGACATGATCTACAAACCTTGTTGAATAAAGTTATTTTCTAGGTCGTCATCAGCTTTGGAGCATGTGCGAGTAACCGAAAACGCCAGACAGCCCGTATTGCCAGGCCAGCTTTTTTTCGGGTGGATATAATTGTTGTGCTGCTTTCTCTGTCAGCCGCGACCATCGCGCCGCCTTCAACGCGAAGCAGCGGAAGAGCCGATCTGCCCTTTCCGCCTCCCTTGACTTGCGGATACATGCAAGTGCGGCGTCTTTCGGCCAGCCACTTCCATGTGCAATGGTCATCCACGCTTTTGACTCTTAGAGCATCGTCTTCGCCCAGAAATTTGATCCTTCTCAGCTATCATCTGGGCATCTCCTATAAATATACGCTATACTACTGCGAATATGAAGCAATCGCTGTTTAGTGCATTTCTCTTAATGGGATGGATGTTGTTTTGTTCACGTTCTCTCTATACAGCACGGCATTCCTTTACGGCGTTTATCCATACACCCCATCCCTATCGACTTTGTACAAAAAAGTCAATTTCATAATAAGTTACGTGTCGCGGGAGATTTTCTTTTGGTTCTGGCACTTTCGTCGGAGACAACAGCAATTGAGCAAGCTGAAGAGGGCCCAAACGTTCCAGGAATGGCGGGACACGGCAGCTAAGCTAGACGAGCTTTGCGGTCTTGATCAATGGTATGTGGTGCCCAACAGATGCTTTCTGAACGTGTTTTGTATATTCCCGCTGTGGGAGTCAACGTATCGTGCTCAGATATGCGTTTCGATGTAGGCGGGCTAATCCTGTGACCGAATTATATAACGGGGATGTTATCACGGAACGCATTCAGAAGCTCCGTTGGGGAGTGGCTATCGACGACCCGCGCATAGTGTGCAATAGCATTCGGGTTGGGCTAATCAGAAACATGGTCAACATCGCTATACCAGAGCTTTATAATAAAGCTTATAGTGGGACTAAAGTATTGATTGAGGAGTATGCGGCGCAGCAAGTTGACGCCGTACGATATGTGATGAACCTCGAGGCAAAGCCACGTCACTGGACCGGGTTTGATGCTCAGGCTAAGCGTGATTTTATACGGGGTGCGAGGCAGGGCCTGGGTAGATCTACGCTGCTGTTTGAAGGCGGTTCTATCTTTGGCCTTTGCCATATCGGTGTTGCGCGAGCACTATACCGTCAAGGGTTACTTCCCCGAGTGATAACTGGAACAGCCACAGGGGCTTTTGTGGCGGCACTACTTTGTATAAGAAGAGACGACGAGCTCGAATCTTTTCTGAACGGGGATGACTTCAACCTTGAAGCTTTCGAGCGAAGGAGACCGCCGAGGAGACTCAGCTTGTCTCAGATGTTTGCTCGTGAAAATGGTTATGGTTGGTTTCAAAGCCTTTTCCGCCGGATGGTACGCCATCTGAACGAGCAATACTTCCAGGATATGATGGTGTTACAGGAATGTGCTCGAGCCGAACTGGGCACCCTTACCTTTGAAGAAGCGTACGCCAGAACACTCCGAGTTCTTAATATAACTCTTGCGATGCCGAAGAGGGGAGGAGCTCCGAATCTCCTGAACTACATCACGGCTCCCCATGTTGTATGTCTCTGTCCCATACTGATATGTATCCCCTTACCAATGTGACCGTCAGATCATTTGGACTGCTTGTATTGCTTCAAACAAGTCATTTACAGCCAAGGGACCCGTGAGAATGATGTGCAAAGATGAAACTGGACAAATTGTGCTCTGGGAGCCATTGCTAGAGGATCTCGATCTCCATTCATGGCATTTGTCCAGGTGCCGGCGCAAGGCATCGCCCTTGCGCATCCTTCCACAGGTTCTCAATGTCAACCACTTCATAATTTCACAAGCTCGACCCTTCCTTACCCCCATCTTCCGCAGCCAGATCCATCGCCCTGGGCACGACGTCCCGACTGGAGAATGGGAGATTTTCCAGTTCTTCAAAACGCTTGCAAAAGTGGACATGCGACACCACCTTCGAGAATATGATTCTTTGCGTGGTTTGCCGAATATCCTACGTCGAATCCTGATCAAGGAAGATATTCCTGGTTCGTGCGTTGCACTGCTTTCGGACGTTTCGTTTTGGGATTTGATAAAGGTTTTCAGAAAGCCGACGAAAGAAAGCATACGATCATGGATCCTAAGGGGAGAAAGGGGAGTCTGGCCATCAATAGCTTCATTGAAAGTTCGTTGTCTCCTAGAAATGGAATTGGAGCATTCGTACGCGCAATTGACGAAAACATGGGACACCAACTTGCTCACTTGGTAAAATGCAAGAAGCTGGAGGTGGCAACTCGCACGCATTTTGGATCCATGACCAGGAAGTCAGGCTTTGTCGGATTGACGATATCTGTACCCTCGAATATCATGTGTTGTTTAACTGATTCATATTCTTAACCTGCGTCGAGGCAAAATGATTGGTTTGGTCGTTTTTGAAAGTCCACTTGGACTTTGTTTTGTTGAACCTCGATATTCCGGGATACTCACTAATAAAGAACATTGTGGCCGGCCTTTGGGCGTTGCAATATTCCTATCTTCTCTTTCGAGTCCGAAGCTCTTTCATGGCTGTAGCACAATCATCTTTCATTTTTCTTTGACTCTTCTATTCGCCGTTCCTGTCCGTAACTCTATGCTTGAAAGCGTTGCGCTGTGAGGACTTGTTGTACCTTTTCAACGCTTTGTTCCAAGCTCTAGCAGAAAGGCTGCCGTCGGGACATAAATACCAGCCCTTGGACCACAGTGAAATCTGTTGAGCCAGGCACATATCTGGAGATAGGCTGGAGCCCTGGGCGCTTTGCGCCGACTTATGTATCCCCTTGGGTACCTTGTCTCCGGCTGTTTACTCGGTCAATCGGGGGCACACAGCTGGGTGCCCCAATTGTCGCGTTCGGTTTTTTTTTCGATCTAATTCCATCCTTGAATGATCGGCGGTCTCTATATCAAGGGGAAATTACGGGGCATACTAGCCATGTCTCAAACGTGCCCTTTCGGGGGCCCTGTGTGGATCACGTCCCGGCCCCGCGAGCTTCGAATCACGTTCAATCGAATGCGGTAGACGGAGAGCGCGTCTCCTGTGGATATTTCGGATGCGCCGAAGAAACCGGCGCGGTGGTGATTTAAATTTTGAGGATTCTGATGGATGGTTTGACTCGGATTTCCTTTCGCGGGTTTTACGGGAGCCTAGCAGAGAAACATTGGAGCGTGGTAGAAATTATGTCTACGCAGTCGGATTATCGACGACAATTTCGAACGACGTGGGACGGATTGATGTTTTCTGCAAGGCAGGAGATGTTTGACCAGTTAACATCTCCTCCCCTCCTTCATGACGCCTATGGACTATGAAGGCGCGAACGAAGCACCCGTGCTTCTACAATAGGGCCGTGGCCCTTTCTGGAGCGCACGTCGTGGCCTCTCGCGGGAGGCTATTTATTTTGGACACTGTCCGCCTGCCGCGATTTTCGAGAATAAGTCCCGGTGCGTCCGTGGGGAACTTGAGTTCCCCGAACATTCGTTTGCGTGTGTGGTGAAGGTTCTGTTGGATTTGGGGAAATTTGGGCGAATTACTGCAAGGGGAATCGGGTTTCCAGATATTGGTAACATTGACTACACCTTTCTGGGCCTGGGTATAGCTTGGAGTGGCAGCCGCCCTCGAAGTATTGCACCAATCTCTCGTTCTACATGTGCTGGCTCGCCGCTACGGGGTGCTTTGTCGAGACTAGTTACTGCTTTCACGCTGCTTTTCCAATCGGGAAGCCAAATGGCAACAAGCATATGACTCGTGGGGGTAAGAATACCCATGCAAAATCGAGTTTCTTCGCCGTTCCTTCACTGAACGCGAACCGGACAGTTTACTATAACAATCGGTAACGGCGGTCCATTGCTTAATTGCCTCGTTGATTCGCTACGGATCAGAAAGAGCTTGTGTGGTTTGCGCAATATGACTTTCTTACAATGACATATTGCGTCAAGCTGTCATGTGGGAACGCAGATGTTTCGGATCAGGACCAATGCGTTTTGGGTTCCGATGTGTGAGCCGACCGGAAGAAGTGGGCGAGCCACGATGCCATTGAAGACCTTAACATTCGCCTGGCTCCGACTTGAGGTTGCTGACATGTGCGTCCATGAATGGCGTCAAAAAGGCAACTGCCAAAGTTCCGGCACCGATTTTTAAGTCTTTGGATCTGGGAGGCCGAGCATCTAGAAGAATCTCACGGTCTGGGAGGAATGAGCTGGGAGTCGGCATTTTCAAGCGGTCAGTCCCTGCTCAGTTGGGCGTATTGTCTTCCAGATGGGTAGTTAGTCCAGAGCCAGGGGGCCCTTCCAATGGCAGTGTCTGTCTCTGGGTCATTGTTGAAACTAGGCGGATGGGTAAGTTGACCCAAACGGAGGATCCAACACTGCAAATTCGTGTATCGTCCACCCATTGTTGCTTCGACATGGTTGATCTTGCTTCCATGACAAGAGATGGGCAATGGGCCGGTTGAAGAGCCCGAGCGACCGAAAGTCGCTTAGGGTCATCTTTTTCAAATCTGGACCAACTGTGATAGAGCTGCCAAGTTATGGGAGCGGGCGGTTGTCACTGATCGTGACCGCGGTGCCGGGGGCAAATTCTTTCCTTCACGCGGTTTGGGTCCAGTCGAATGGATATAATCTGCCTCGTTGGGATGGCCCCCGAGTTGGTCACGGCTTGGTTTGGTTTTTGGGTGGATGGGAAGGGGCACAGTTCGGCTGGCTCAGCGCCTGCCCCCCCTATAACTTGAGCCGGCAATCCCTTTATCATAGACGACTCCAGAGACGAGCGCCGATGAAAACAACAATAACACTTTTTGAGATAAATTAGAGAAGCAAGTTGATAATTGATATAAAATACTAAAAATAGAAATCAAATTCAGCCAATTCCACTATGCCTATTTTAGTCTAGTATAAAACTCATCTTCGGAACTGAATAACCTTAATCCGGGAGTTATTCTGCCACCGAAAGCGGTCACCCGGTGTGCTCGCTGTGAAGTCACTTTGACGTGAAGGAATCCAAGTCAACAACGAATACACATCGGTACCATGCTTTGCAGTGTGCTTCTTCTCTTTCTTTGGGACCGGGAATGTGAATAATACACTTTATAGTCACCTTTCCCTTCTGTGGTCCTCACAATCTCCGGCTTGTCTCTATCCCTTCACTCCCCCTCGGCTCTAATCATCGCCCTGGTTTCCTCAGCACAAATCGCAAAACACCTTTTCGAGAGTATTTTTGGTTCATCTACACCGAAATATCGTTTAGCTTGAGGCCTGCGATAGTCAGTGGTACCATTACTTTGTAATCCGCCTTTTCCGTTCACCTTCACGGACGATGGCGTCTCAACTCGCTATGATCGAGGATACCATCGTGGGCTTAAAGAGAGCGCTTGCTCGTGAGAAGCTAGGTATGTTCACGTTTCAAACACATTGGAAGAGTATGGTAGCGGCAAGATACTAACACTCAGGTTTCAAGGTCAGGATGCCTACGACGAGCCAATAAGTCAGCCAACAAACCGAGGCAATAAAACGAGATTGAATGCAAAATATGTCCACCAAGGGTCACTTGGTATTATGAATGGCGAGGACTTTTATCGAAAGGTGCGCTTGCATTTTGAGAAATCACCCTGGACGCTTTGAGCACCTCTTAACATCTTTTGGCGGTTTCTTAGAAAGTGGACCACGCCGGATATGCACGGCGTATTTTGCAATATAATCCTGTGCGATACGATTCGGAAGGCGACGAACTTGATGATGACGACTCGGATGCGACAGCGGATGCCGAAGCTGCAGAGGAAAATCCATACTCGGGTATTTCACTTGAGAGTGAGTCCCATCGAACCGCCAACTGAATAATACTTGAGAAGACCAATTAGCTGATGGGCATTGCCAATACTTATAGCTCTGCTCGCCCCGTTGAAACATCCGTCGGAGCTCCCAGAACACCCGTCCATGGCGGAGCCGTACAAAAGCAAGGCGATATCGCACATGGTGGATCTCATTGACAAGCGGCTTAGGCAAGAGCGATATGCGCTTTGGCAGGCTAAAAAAGTCCATCGACAGTTACTGGGGGATACTCCGTGGATTCCTTGTGGAGCCGTGGAGAAGCCGCAGGACAGAGCGATCTTTGAGCCTGCATTCCTTTTGCCCAAAGATCTTCAGCAGCTCGGCTCCAGTCTGCCCGACCACAACGCCCATTCCAATTGCCATTCCTCAGTTGCTCAACCTTCCCACCTAGATCAGGGCTCTTCCCTCGACATAGAGCCAAACCCTCGACCCCAACCTCTGACTAATGGTCCGACTACGAGTGAAGCATTCTCTAGGGAGGATTGCGAAATGCTAGATGTACTAGACGATAAGGACAACGAGGTAGATGCCCAAATGGAGGATGTTAACCCATCGCAGACCGATAACTCTAAAACCGGCGTGTCAGAATCACGGGATAAACCTCCAGGGTCAGGAACGGAACCCATTGAAATTCCTGGCATACTCATACCAGACGGGGAAAATGGCCAAGACTTGGAGAACAAGCAGGATGGTGACGCAAAGGAAAATGATACTTCTTCGCCGACACAGATCCCGAAAGCTGAAATGGAAATTGACGACGATCCTCTCGATACCGCTATTGCCGACGAAGAGTCGCCCGAACCTCCTCGCCGGATGACAACTCGTGCGCAAGCGAACCAAGTTACCCAACAAGATGGGAGCCAACCCCCATCGCCCACAGTGTCTGGTGACACAGCAAATGCTTCCGACATTGAACCTGACGACACAACGCCTCATCCATTATATCGATTTCCATCTATAAAGATTGACGGCAATTGCGGCCTTCCAGTAATTGAAGCTGAAGAAACGCGCCACCTGCTCTGGGCTTATATTCAGAAACAAAGTGAAACAGTTCGGCTATTTGCCGATATTTTGGAAATGTTACGGAAATCTTATCGGATGAAAGAGGATGTGTTTGAATGGTGCAAGGCGGAGGGGCATCTTGGAGAAATGAGCGATGGAGAGGATTGGTACGATAGGGAAAAGTGGGGATTGGAGGGTGAGGACTTGAAGAAAGGAGCAGATGAAGAGGAGCAGGAGGTGGATGAAGGTCGTGCAACTGGCAAGAGAGGGCGCCGGAGACAATGACGAACCTGATCATAATTCAGAATGTGTTCTTTTTTGCTTTGACGCCTTTCTTTTTTACGCATAGCGGCGGGCTCTTTCGAATGCGTTCTCTGCGGTCTGTTGAAGGGCGTTCTCAGATACCTCGGTGGCTGGTTTTGCATTATACCAGGTGTTTATCCCGAGCATTTTGATTTCCTCGGGCTGGTCATTTATCGATGTCATGGATAGGAGAGGTGGTGGAGCTTTGTCGAAATAGGTATTGGGTCACTGGTTTGTGCGTAATTTGCGCTGATACTTTAAACATCTCTGAAATTTTGTTTAACAACTGATTCGTACTATTGGTTACGTTGGATCTCAGTGGGAAAAAAAGGACATGCATATTCTATCTGTATATGTGGGTATATACATTAGGATTTAGCCACCCCTGTGCTCGCCTGAAATCGAAGAGATGGATTTACATGTCAACGGTACACAAGAGCTCTATGTTGCCTTGGAACATCTGGATTGAAGTCTTTCGTAGGTTGCTACTAGTACTTTTCTTTTTAAAGTCGATCGTTGAGGATGCGTTATATATTCGTGAAAATACAGTATCGACGGTTATGCCGTCACGAAAGAACCTGATCTCACAAGCCACTCAGCAGTATGGCGCGTATACCGTCGCCAAAGCTTCACTTGGGATTCAGGCTGGTAATTTCACAAAGCTTTCCGTAAGATTGCATAAATCAGGCTGATTAAGCCCGCTTGTTGCTTTTCCCGGCTTTCGCCCTGTCTCGCTCGCGCTTTGCGTAGATTTCTGCTGTAAACGGACTACATCAAGGAAAATTAGCCACAGGAATCAACAAATGGGTAGAGAGGCCCTCGTACTCTTCCCATTTCAAAGCCAGCCAATACACGATAAACACTTCCGCAGTCAATACTAGCCCTGCAGCCTTCCCGTAATATAGCGCAACAGCCAAAAAGCTCATCGTGCTACCCCAATACATTGGCGCACTGGAAACGTTAAAGGGGAACCCAGTGACCGGTGCGTCCATCAAAATTCCAAAGTAGTCGCCGAGATACGTTCCCGTAAGGCCCAATGCCCACATACTCGAAAGTACCAAGGTATTTCCTACAGCAAAAAGGCCGTAGGCAACATACGGTTGGTGGACGGGCGCAAAGTAAGGTTGGGCTTTGAGAGCTTCATTGTATAGGTTGTCGCGGAAAATTCCTAGGGAAAAAATGGCGAAAGCGAGGAAGTAGCAGCCATAATAGGGGCTGCCAAATATGCGCGTCAGAAAGTGGTTTCGGTATTCTGTTGTTGCGTTGCGACAATCAGTAATCCTAGCCAGGTGGTGGAAGAACTGGTGTTTGTGCAGACGAACCTTGTCGAGCAACCACACTGTCAAAGTTAAGGATTTAGCATGATTCGCGTGAGTATAGTAGTCGAATCCGTTGACTTACTTCCAGAAAATGGGATTGAAGGCAATAGCAGCTGCGGCAACTGTTGGGATATCTCAATGGTTAGCAGTCGCTTTGGTCCCATGTACTGCAAGTACCTCGAAGTACCAGTGGCTTTGGATTGGTAGCAAGACTGGTTTTTAGCGGCATTCAAAGGGCTGCGTACCTTTGAAGCTGGGCTGGCTAAAATCAATAAAGTCGGTAAGGGACGACATAGTGACAACGCCGTGGACTCTGCCGTTGGAGAGAGCTGGATGTTGACTTGGAAGTGACTTGAAGTCCAAAAGCGGGATTTGTTTACTTTTTCAACGCCAAGACACCATGACGTAAGGACCCTGAGCGCAGTCCTTATGTAATCAGAGCATTGATGCACGTGATCCATGAGCTCAAAAGGGTTGTCTCGATCTCTCAATTGCTTCAACGACAACAGACAAAGCGTGGATTGGCGGCCCAGCTAGGTATTCCATGCACCTGCTGAGCTAGCAGTCATGGGGCTGGCCCGAATATCGCGTCCGCAAGAATGGCCTTAGGTCGCCGCGATATCCTCATCGCTGGTTTTGGTGGCTGTCTTGCATGGGCTTTACTCGTTGAATGGCTCCCTGTCCTTCGGCTCCTCGGATACTCCTTTGTGCTGGGTGTGGCTCTTACTGTTTTAGCCTTTGGTGCCCTAACCGTACTCTCCGTGCGCGATGGCTTTGACTCCCGAACAAGACCAGCCAATTTGGCTGGCTCTTCCATTGCATTCCTTTCTCCCCAGAACTGGGACGGACATTGCGGACGCTACCGAGACGACGCGAAATATCAGCCGGTCACACTTTATTCCCAGTCGTTCATGGTCTCCTCGGCCTTGGATGAGCTGATTCAGTTAGCCCTGAGAGATTTCATCCGTTCGTGGTATGAGCACATTAGCAAAAGTCTCAAGTTCACGAACGAGATTGACCGTACAATACGGACAATAGTCCACAAGTTACGAACTAAGCTGGAAAAGGAAGACCTGGTCGAAACCCTGGTTTCTCGGATCGTACCAATTGTGACCACGCATTTCAAGGAGTTCGATCGAGCTGAGCGAGCGGTGCGAGGGAAGAACCTAACCCACAATGTCACCGAATCTGAAGAGCTGGATATTGCTATTGCGTTGAAATACAAAGATGGTATTTTACACCCTGCTGCATCGCCGTCGTTTCCAGACAAAAACCATGCACAGCAAAATCACCTTCGCAGAATTGTCACTTCTTTGCTACCCGACTTGATACCACCCAGTTTACTCAGTAGCCGGGCAGTGTCGATTCTGATTAGAGAAATTATCACATGCGCTATCCTTTTTCCCTTGATGGAACTCCTCGCGGACCCTGACACTTGGAACCAACTAGTGGAAGCCTATGGCAGGGCAACCATCCAAGACCGAAAAACCGTTCGAAAACTTCGTGCTGCGCTAGACGAGCATGCCTCTGTGCCTTCCAAGTCCAAACGTTCGCATCATTTTCCGAGGCTGCTTCCTAACGATTCCGAGAGAGATTTTGAGCGTTTCGTGAGAGCAATCCGACGGTGTAACAACCTATCCGATGCCAGAAGGTTTAGGAATCATGTAACAAGTCAGTTAAAACGTGAAAGCATGGTCGATGGTCAGGATCAGGTTTACTTGCGACGGCTCGAGACTGGCAAGAGAGTTCTTGACCAGAAAGTTGCAAAACTCTCAGTACTCGGCGGTCATTCCACTGCCCAGGCCAATACCGATCTCCGCTACAGCTACATATCCAAGCCGCACGAAGTCTCTCTTGTTGACATTATGCATAATGCGTCGGGCCTTTCGTACTTTATGGAATACATGGATCGACTTCGTCTCATGTCCTTAGTACAATTTTGGATTGTCGTCGACGGGTTCAGAAACCCCTTAGAAGATGATTTTGGGGATGATACGCCAACAAAATCCGTTACCTGGACGGCGACAGACCGAAATGATATGATATTGATCAGCGAAAACCATTTATCAAAGTCAGAACTTCGTGTACCCGAGGAGTCGCGAAAAGCCGTTAAAGAGTTCATTGGCTCCGGCAAACGAGCAACCCCCGAGCAATATCGCAAAGCTAGGACAGCAATCCTAACCGCACAATCTACGGTTTTGGAAGAAATGCAAAACAGGCATTACCCAGGATTTAAAAGGTCGGACCTATACTACAAATATTTAGCCTCCGATGAGGCAGCCGCTGGCCTTTCTGCCCAATTAGAAAGACCAGTGCCCACCGGCTCACCGGCTCCCGATGTGCCCGCTGCCTTGCAGCGAACGGGCTCTCAGTCTAGCAACAATTCCCGCGATATACGGAGATCGGCGTTTTCGCCTAATGAGACACCAAAATTGGCACTTTTCACCGACAACCCGTCGATGGAGAGGCGGTCTTTGGATTCTCCTCGCCCACCCTTGTTTAACGATGATGTAGAGCCTGACCCAATGGAATCATCAACGTACAGTCTTGGACAGGGATCACACAATGGAGAGGGAGATATGCAAGATAGTCGAATAATAGCGAATATGGAAGCTGCCCTAAACGATATTATGAGCACTGAACCGAATGACGCACGATTAGATGAGCCGAGAGGCGAACTCAAGTCCCCGCTGTCGCTCTTTACATCCACTAAATATGCAGACTCCTCTAGGAACTCGTTGGATTCCACTCGTCCCGATGGTTACCCTTCAGAAAAACCGAAACCAAGTATTGCTTCTTTGGGGCTTGTTAACACTGCTTCTCGGATTGGTGTTTTTACAGACGATGATCTCTTTCCGGACCAAGAAAAGTTCATCGAAGATGAGTATGCCGACGAGCCGCTGGAAACCCAGTCTCCTGAAGATGAAATCCATGAAGCTGCCCCGGGAGATCTTGGGTTAACCGAGGCTATCTCTGCGTTGAGTGCAGATATAGCCAAGTTGTCATCACAGGAAGCCATCATCGATACCTTGACTCGAAAAGCTGAGTTGACAAATAACACCGCTGAGTTGCGAATATTAGGGAAGTCTAAATCTAGCTTGCAGCGCGAGATACGACGAAAGGAGATGCAAAAGCAGCAATATATCATACAGGAAAGTGATAATAGTCTTTATGGCCGCTCTGGCGTCCAAATCAAGTCGATTATTGTTGGCAAGGAGGAAGATGGCCGTGAATATGCACTTTGTAGGGATTCTGTTTTCTTTTCACGCTAGGAGTTTTACACATTGCTCTTAGGCTAACCTGTCCTTTAGACCCTTATTGAGATGAATAGGAAAGCCGGCGAGCAAATGCCAGCGGCTTCCTGGGCTATTCCCACGTCGGTATAGTGAGTTTCACGAACTCCATCACCAACTCCGGATGCGATACCCAGCTGTTCGACAACTTGAATTTCCGCGCAGGAGGGTGGTTATGAAGCTCCAAAAGGACTTTCTACAGAAGCGTCGCCAAGGCCTTGAAGCATATCTTCAACAGCTTCTCTTACTACCCGATGTTTGTCGTAGTAGAGAACTCCGATCCTTTCTATCCCAACGTGCTATCCTCCCTGCCACCAACACCACCGACACCCCACGCGACGGCGAAAGCCGCGACCTTGTGACGCGTATCTACAATTCCGTCACCGATTCCATGGACGATATTCTTGGTAATATCCCGGCCTTCGATCAGCTGTCCGTCGCAGGACAACATCTCATGTCCGCTGCCACAGCCCAGCGCAGCTTAAACCCACAACCGGATTTAATCACTCCTGAAGACAACCTAACTGCCGCCGAAGCGGAAGCGGAACTCAACGCTTTTGAAGACCGCGAGCTAGAACCTTTCGTCAAGCCAATTTGCGACATGTTCCTCGAAATATTCGAACTCAACAAGGGCAACAACTGGCTCCGGGGCCGTGCCGTCGTCGTGGTCCTGCACCAGTTACTCGGCGGTACCATCGAGCGCAAAGTCCGCGAAATGGCCAAATCCCTGGTGCAAGATAGCGCTTTGCTGCGCTACATCTCGCTGATCAAAGACACGATGTGGCCCGGCGGGCAGTTGCGCGAGACCAAGCCGCGCAGCCTAGCAGAGAAGATGAAGAGTCGCACCGAGGCTAGCGTCGTGCTGGCGACGCTGATCCCAGATTTGGCGGGAAGTGTTGTGGGGAGGGCGAATGCGCAGGCTGCTGCCAGGAGGGTGTTTGCCACGACGAACAACCGGAGGCTGAATTTGCATCTGGTGTATGAGATTCTGGACGAGGTTGTGGGAATTTTGGCTGGGACTGCAAAGTAAGGAACGGGCAATGGATCAGTGCCTGTTTATCAATTGCCCCCTGCTCGATTGTTTTCGTTCGCTCCCTTGGAGAAGCCATCCCTCCCTGTGGAGCGGATTCTCTATGTCGAGTGAACGAGCTTTACGTACCAATCCATTTTCCATTACCTATCAGCGAAGATTCGGACTTGCTAGGGATTGTTGAGTGTCTTTGCTAATTTGGTCAGGCTCACTAGAAAGTATTGGTGCATCTGTAGATGTTTGGATGAAATACCAGCCAGTTTTTTAGTCCCATATGTCAACTTTTTCCGTCAATGCAGACTGTTAGTTCATCTCTAGAGAGAGTTGAGAAGTGAATATAGAGTATCATTGTTTCAAGTTCGATGAATGGGAGTAATTATCATAGATACAGGTACATCATGTACGCCCCGTCGCAGTTGCCTATTCCCATACATGCCATAACATTCTCATTGGGTTGGATGCCCTAAAGGATCTAGCCCTAATTCAGTGAGCGAAGTCTATCTGCGCAGTGAATTCATGCTAAAATCAAAATGATATCACTAGGCTTCACCCTTCTTCTTAGCCTTTTTGCTTACTGGGGCGCCTTCCTTCTTCTGATGTACGATCAGCCTTGTCCATGACTCTTCCTTGTCCCATTCAAAACCAGCGAGGATAGGGTTGTCGAGTTCATCATCAGCCTGCAGGCAATATTATTAGCAACTAGTCTTGTGTTAGTAGGGTTATACATACCTTCTTCTTGAATTGCTTGTATATCGCATCCAATGCATCCTTGATTGTGACGCCTTTTAGATTTCGTGCAGTAACTTGGAGTCCGAGAGGGAAGTGAAGGTCAATCTTTTTGACAGGAGGCGTTGTGAGTAATTTCTTGAGGGTGTCTTTCTCATCCAAGCTTGCGGGCGACGTGTTGAGCTTCCTGTGTTATACCGTTAGACGCTGACATGACTAATAGCAGTTGGCATATACAATAGCCCTGGGCCTCTTACCAGTTTAATTTCTGTGTCTCTGGAGCAATCTGCAGTTCAATTCCTTCCTTTTCTGATGGACAGAATCAATATGAGCAAGTGAAACGGCATTAGCTAGCACTGGATAAGCATACCAAGGTCATTGATGTTCATAACCCCGGTGTCTTGAGTGACACGTTTGGCCTTCTTTGCCTCAGCAGGAGTGAGACCTGCAACGGCGGAATCGACCTTGGTGAGTGGTTCGGACATAATGAGCTAGGATATGTGCTGGGATAGCAAGAGCCTTCTTAGTTGACGAACAATAATAGAAGCAATCTGTGGATGGAATGAAGAGCAACTGAGGGAGCAGGCAGGCGGCTATTGATGAAACACGAGAGGTACCGTACCTTGTAGCTGATGACGAGGCAAGAACAAACGGGTAGTCTTGGAAGACGGATTGATCCGGGACAGCGTTGAGTTGGCAGAGAGATTGAGTGTGTGTGAGCGAGAGCAGACGAGGGAGTGTTGCTGGGAGGAAGAGAAGAGGAGAAGGAGAGAGAGAGAGAGAGAAGAGCGAGAGAAGCGAGAGGAGACGGGAAAGCGGGGTTTGGGCCCAGCCGAAAGGGGAAAGGGATACTAAGCGTGACATCCGGGTGACCAGGGCGTCACGCCATCATCCAAGACACGCAGGAAGTACTGCTCAGGTATACATACAAGCCGCCCTCCAGCACGGCACCCTCGAACCGGGCGTGGCTGGATGTCTCGTGACCGTCCTATAAAGGCGTTCCGTATAACAAGGGCTGGCGGAATGCTTGCTCTTGGGCCGTTGCTTGCATGATGCGGCAGGGCCTTGCGCAATGTGCTCTGCATCCCATTCTCCTCCTGCTGCTGTCGCCTGGCAAGACGCCCCAGAGCTGAACGGCGTTGACGTCCAGCCAGCAGTTTACCATGTACCTAGTATGTACCGCCAAAGTACCGCGACATCATCGACTCCACTGGGGGTCCAGCTCACGGGATCTGCGGATTAGCTAATGTACCCCGCATTTCCCCAAACCCAAAAGTGTACGGCACTAAGCTCGATGCGGCGTAGCGCTCCTTGAGCTGTTCGTCCTGTTTGCTTTTGCTGGTTGACGTTCCATCATCTATTTTGGAGTATTATCATCAAGGGAAGATGATACTTGGTGAGCGTTTTCAAGCTGCATATTTGAAACCGAAAACCAAAACTATTACGAGCTTCTCCAACAGCAATAGTTGCCGGATGCCGGGCGGGAACACTTCCTGAGCAATCATGGTCCCGGAAACCGGGTTCCGGCTCACTGCGGTCACCTCACCATGAACTTCAGCCTACTTTGAGCGATCCGCGTGCTCCGAAAGGACCCGATTCGATTGATTATGGCGATATATTTGGTAAACACTAGTGAGTGACTTCTAATTCAACATCAAGTGCGTATGATGCACATTTCCAACGAGTGTGTCTAGAAATGTCCAACGATCTGTTTGGGCTTGTAGGGCTCCTCCAAATATTTCATTTCCTCCTCCGTGAAGCTGACTTGGGAGGCCGTCAATGCGTCGTCCATACGCTCAATTGAGCTAAACCCGATAATGGGACTGGTCACCTTTCCAAGTGTCCAGGCAATGGCAACCTCCACCATCTTCCTCCCTTTCTTCTTAGCAATTTCTTCCACTCTTCCGATGATTTCCAAATCCTGCTCGGTAAGCTTGTTCGCTTTCAAATACACATCGGCCCGTTTCGTGTTCGCTTCAGTCGATGGGGGCCGAGCCAGGAAACCTCGTTCGAGCGGAGACCACTTGTAACATGTGTAAGGAAAATGCCAATTGTAGCATTTAAAAGCATGAGTGCCATACCGGAATAAGGCCAACTCCTGTTTCCTTGCAGAATCTGTTCATCTCCCGTTCTTCCTCTCGGTACATAACGTTATACTTATTTTGCATAGAGACGAATTTGGTCCATCCGTTCTTTTCTGCGCAGAATTGCATCATGGCGAACTGGTACGCGAACATCGAGCTGGCACCAATGTATCGGACTTTACCTGATTTCACCAAGTCATGGAGCGCCTCCATAGTCTCTTCAATCGGAGTGTCATAGTCGAACCTGTGGATCTGGAGCAAATCGATGTAATCCGTTTCCAGCCTTTTGAGCGAAGCATTCACCGCCGAGAAAATAGCCTGACGGGATAATCCTTTCCGCAACGTTTCAGTCCAGTTCACATGAGCGATACAAGAGAACATATCTTACCATGCTGATTGACAAATTCTTTGCTTTGAGAAAGCTTGTCTTCGAGACCGAATGTCATGAGATTCTCTCTCTCGCTCATGATGCCAAAACATTTGGTCATGATTACAAGATTTTCGCGGGGAATACGGTAATTCTTGATGGCTTTGGCGATGATCCTTTCCGAATCGCCATTCGAGTACACGTTTGCCGTGTCCCACTGGAAATTGAATCAGTTTCTCGTTCATCGAACAGACTCTATTGAAAAGTGGTAATACTGTGTTCAATCCCCTGTCATATGCAGCTTTCAAAAGCGGAAGAGCCTATAGATTCGAAATTCGGTAAGCAGGGCGACACCCATTCCATCTCATGGCTAACGTACTTTGTCTTCGTCAATCACCCATGGCATCCATTTGGAGGATCCGAAACTCATAGCCCCAAGGATGGGGACTGAAACTTTAAGCCCGCTTTTGCCTAACCTTCGATACTCGACTTTGGTGGACTCGAGCGATTCCCGGATCGACGTTGGGTGCTCTGGCGCGGCCATGGTTGCGGTTCAATGGAGCTTGGTGAGGTCAACAATGTTTTCTCTGTGCTTCTTCTGGGGGATTGAGCCCTCTATTTATACACTATTCAGTTCCAGTTTGCATTAGATTTTGCTATTGGAAACTGGTCCACAGGGAGTCTAATCGGCGGGAACCAGGACATTGCCAACTACCAAAGGCCTTGGTGATTGACTGTGTTGAGTCACATCTCGCTGTTGTCGTTCCGGAGATTGGAGAATTAGAACCGAATGCAAGCTCAGATTATTAATTCTATTTTAAAGCCGTAGTTAAACTCCTTATATCTCCGTGTGCGACTGGGACCAAGTGGTGATGCGATGTGCAGTTGGTGTCATCCCTGATAGATGTTAGTCTTAGTCAGCATCGGGGCTTTTGGAGCTTGTTTGGTCTGTTTGCATCAACCAGCCCTCACTGGCCAAAAGATATCTGAACAAACGCAGCAGACCGTCAGGGCACTTCTCCAATCAACTCTCTGGTGTCGTGCGGCTCCCTTCTTTTTCTTTTGTTTCTAATTATTGGGAACCCATTTACTTATACTATCTTCCCGTTTTTCGAGCTTTCCTGCAGAGCGTGACGTCGAAGCAACGCTGACGCAACACCCGTCAAAATGTCAGGCCTCTTCGGCTCAGCCAGCCCTGCTGGTTCTTCGGGCGACATTTCAAAGGATGTCGCCCTGTCTTCGCCGCCGGATGATAGTATCTCTGATCTCGCTTTTTCGAGTGCCAGCGATCACCTTGCAGTGGCATCTTGGGACAAGAAAGTCCGCATTTATGAAATCAATGAACAAGGACAAAGTGAAGGGAAGGCGTTATTCGAGCATCAAGCACCTGTGTTGAGTTGTTGTTGGTCACCCGTACGTACTCTAGCCTCGGACCTTTCTTGTATCCGCCTTGAATCAAGATTTCTAACGCGTTGTGGCCGTGTAGGATGGAACTAAAGTTGTTGGTGCCGGTGTTGATAAAGCCGCTCGTATGCTCGATCTCGCGGGCAACCTTAGCAACCCTATTCAAGTCGCTGCGCATGAAGCGCCCATTCGATGTTGCCGCATGATTTCGAACCCGGGAAACTCTAGCCAGCCACTGCTCATCACCGGGTCGTGGGATAAAACAGTCAAGTACTGGGATCTGCGGCAGCAAACGCCCATCGGATCTCTCGATTGTCAAGAACGGATATACACAATCGACGTTAACAATAAACTTCTGGTTATTGGAACCGCAGATCGATATATCAATATTGTGAATCTGGACCAGCCCACGAAATTCTATAAAACAATGCAGTCTCCCCTAAAATGGCAGACCAGAGTTGTCAGCTGCTTCGCAGATGCCACCGGATTTGCTGTTGGAAGTATCGAAGGCCGATGTGCGATTCAGTACGTTGAAGAGAAGGACTCTGGCAAGAATTTCAGCTTCAAATGCCACCGCGAAAGCCCCCCGAACAACGTGAACCTCAGCAATGTTTATTCAGTGAATGCCATTTCTTTCCACCCAACACACGGCACTTTTAGTACGGCAGGCAGTGATGGTACATTCCACTACTGGGACAAGGATGCCAAGCACAGGCTCAAGGGGTTCCCCAACGTTGGAGGAACCATTTCCAGTACTGCTTTCAACCGTAATGGAAATATCTTTGCCTATGCTGTGAGCTATGACTGGAGCAAGGGATATACCGCCAATACGCAACAAACACCGAACAAGGTCATGATGCACCCCGTTGGCCCTGAAGAACTACGACCCCGTGCCGCCGCCAACCGTAGGACCAGATGATGCGGTGGATGGAGGAAAATCAGAAAGAAAAAAGAAAAAACCCTATGGGAGCTAATGGACCAAAAAAGCGCGTTTTGGAATTCAATAAGGCGCAGTTACTATCCCGTGCTAGCATACATTCAAAGAGATTCGATCCTAGGACGCTGTCAGCATTTTTTCCTAAAAATGTACCATAAGCACGTATTATCTTGCGGTATTACCCCTCCAAATCTTTCTTACATTTGGTCTTTATTGTTTCGGAATGGTTCTGGAGTCTGGGCATGTATTTGGGTTGCTGATGATATCTCCTTTGTTCCCCCTTTTCTACATGATTCCCTTTTTTGTTACCCGAAAACCCATGATATGCTTCATGTGCTATTGCATTGACTGTAGGCAAATAGAATGCAATAACTGTCGCCCACGCATACGCGTGTATACTTACCAGTATCAGAAGCACCTTTGGGAGAAAAAAAGTGAATATTGTTAAAAATTTGGCCATTTCCTAACACAACTCATTACACAGGTGTGTATCAATTCTTGTCTTCTCTAAGGGAAAATTGGCACAGCAGGAAAGAAGAATTTCCTGCACACAGCTGAACCAATAGCAAAAAATTCAAGTAGAGCCATCACCTTCAAATCGTTACTGTTGGGAAGTGCCTAAGATGTTGGAATGGTTACTTGCGCAACACCGTCCGCAATCTTCTCAACAGCCTCATCCTTCCCGCCCTCCACCGTCGCAGAAACAGCCTCTGCGCCGCCCTTTGCAGAAGCTTCCACGCTCTTTCCCGTATCTTCACCTTCCGTCTCTCCCTTGGGCTGCTTCTTCTTTTCCTTCTTCTTCGCCTTGTTCGCCGCCTTCTTCGCTGCTAGTTTAGCAGCTTCTTCCTCTTTCTTCTGCCTTTCTGCCTGCGAGCCGCCAAACATGGCGCGCCATTCATCGGCCTTTTTGACGTCGATGGTTGAGAAGAGGTATTTCGCTTTGCCGATCTTGTGGCCCCCCTTGATCGCTGTGGGTTTCCAGCCATCTTTGAGATCTTCTAATGAGGGGATATTTGCGAATGGAGCGTCGAGTTGTTCGAGAATGGATTTTGAGGTGGCAGGAAGGTATGGAGAAAAGACGCTGGCGCAAAGGTGAATCAAGTTGATCACTATTCCGACCACAGTGGCGGCGCGTTCGGGTTCGTTGGCGATCAGGGAATTGTCGAGTTTGTTGGATTGAATGAGGTTGTTGCCTGCCTCGGCAACTCGCATGGCCGTGGCGAGGCCGGCGCGGAGATGGACGGTCTCCATTTCTTCGATGTATTGTCGAAGAATGGTTGTGATATCGTCCAAAACTGGGTTGAACGATTCCTGGACTGTGAAATCAGGGACAACACCGCTATAGGCTTTGGGGCTGGCTATCAGTTTGACAACTCGATTTACCAGATTGCCCAGTTTAGCAAGGAGTTCTCCGTTGTTGGCATCAATGAAAGAACGCCATTCGAATTGGGTATCACCCGTTTCTGGCCTGTTTTTGAGAAGGTAATATCTCCATACATCTGCCGGGATACCAGTATCCTTTGCATTGTTTCCAAAAACGCCGATACCACGAGACTTGCTAAATTTTCCGCTCTCATAATTTAGATATTCGGTAGTGCTAAGATGGTGTAGCATGGTCCACTTATCCTTTGTTCCCAATTGACAGCCCGGGAAGATCACAGCATGGAACGGTACATTATCCTTGCCGAGAAACTGGTATAACTGAACGTCCTCTGGACTTCTCCACCAGAGTTCCCAATCATCGGTGTAGTTAGCCGTTATAGAAGGATATCCAATGCAAGCTTCAAACCACACGTAAAGCACCTTGTTCTCGTAGCCTTCGAGCGGAACTGGTACACCCCATTTCAAGTCTCGTGTGATGCCGCGATCTTTAAGACCCTCCTTTAACCATGACTCTGTGATCACACGGCTGTTTTTCGGCCAGTCTCCCTTTTCAATAGCAGGACGCACCCATTCCTCGATTTGAGGTTGAAGTTTATCTAAAAGAAGATGAATATGTTTCGTAGGCCGGCTGACTGGCGTTGCGCCATCGACTTTGCAGCGAGGGTTTATCAAATCAAAAGGGTCCAGCAAGTTGCCGCATTTATCACACTGGTCTCCTCTAGCATCATCATAATGGCATCGAGGACACTCCCCTTCCACATATCGATCTGCCAGAAACGACTCGTGCTTTTCGCAATATGGCTGCTCGGCGGTCTTCTCCTCCAAAAACCCATTGTCATAAAGCCTCTTGAATATCCTCTGTGAAATCTCGGTATGCTTCTGCGTCGGAGTGCGCCCGAATATGTCAAAGCCTATCCCAAACCATTCGTAAACTTCTTGATGGATCTTGTTGTATTTGGCGCACAACTGTTCGGGGGTCACGCCCTCCTCGAGCGCTTTGGTTTCGGTTGCTGTGCCATATTCGTCTGTTCCGCAAACGTACAGCGTTGGTCTGCCGCAAGCTTTATGGTATCTATTCGAGTTTTTTTGTGAGTTTTGGCTGCAGTAAAACAGGGATCGTGCCAGAGCACTTGGACATACCTAGCAAAGACATCGGCACTCAGGACGGATCCCACAATGTTTCCCAGGTGAGGGACGTTGTTCACATAGGGCAAGGCACTGGTGATGAGGATGTTCCGCTGTCCCTTTTGGGGCAAAATCTTCTCTTGTGATCCCATATTGTCTGGCGTGTTGTGCTTGTTGCGGCAGAAGCATAAGGTGGTGTCTGACGGCGGGGGCGGGGGATCTGAAAGAAATAATTTAGATTTCGGCCCTTTTGACTCATCGCCGCCTCGATACAGCACCAGCTGTTGCCATCGACCTGTTCACCTTTCAGTTTCTTTTTTTACTCAAGTGATTTGCTACTAAAAGGCCGTTTCTTTCTTGTTCCTATCCTAAAGATGGATCTCGATGGCCTGCTTGACCTGGAGGAGAACTTCTACGCCGAGGGGTACGAGCTTGGAGTCAAGGACGGCGAAACTGCTGGCTACAACGAAGGAAGTGTCTTCGCGGTTGAAAAAGGATTCGAAAAGTTCCGCGAATTGGGGAGGCTCTATGGCAAGGGGATAATATGGGCGAAGAGGCTTCCTGGAAGTCATGGGCTTCTTCAGGCCGCCAAAACTCCAAACAGTGTTTCTGAGAGCTCCGAAAACCATGCGGCGCATGATGGTCTACATTTACCCGATCTGCCTCCCAATCCAAGGCTGGAGAAGCACCTCGCGACGTTCCTCTCCCTTGTGGACCCTTTGACGTTAGTGATGGAAAATACGGAAGAGGCTGTCGCTGAATTCGACGAGAGACTTAAAAAGGCCACGGCCAAGGCCAAAATTATAGAAAGGATGCTGGGGGAAACGGGGAGCACACATCAGCATGAGGATTCACAAGCAAAATCGGGTCACGCGAAGCAGGCCGCCACTTCTGGCAATATTGAAGATATCGGGCCGCTCCCCGCGAGGATGATGCTGGAGGCTTGAGTTCGTGTTCGGCTATGGTGATTTCAATGCATGGCCAATCATCCAACCTCATATCGGGTTATGTCTCGATACAAACAATGGCGAACGTTCAAGGAAAGATGTGGAAGGGACACCTTTCAGACGCGTCAATGCGCAAAGCCCCTGAAGTCTGGCGTACATAGTTACATACATCGGTACTGCACGTCTGCATGAAAACCGAAACTGAAGTGACGAGAACTGCCGCTTTTCATGGGGGCTAGCTACGGCTTGAATATTCGGGGAGTGAAGGGGGCAGGGAGGAGACTAGGAACATTGCTGGCTCTGATACAATGTATCGGCAAGGAGCTGGCATCGGCGAACCCACACCGACAGTAAAGTTTTTAACAAGTAACAGCTTAACAGTGTGTCCAAATACGCAACCAGATAGTCATTTAAGGACGGTTGAACACTAGACCATTTTCCTGACATTCCGGTTCACGCATGGACTCTTTCGCATTCCTGTATTCCCCAATACTCTCCTTCAGTTGTATTGTAGGCTTCGGTCTGCCATCGCGAGAACACCCTCTTTCGTTTTGTGCCCACCAATGAATCCGCTTGCATGAGCGAAGATCGCCCCTGCGGGAATCGGAGAGAGATTTTTAGTTTCAGTTTCAGCAGCAAGGACACCGTCAAGATCCTGGTCGCGCACTCCGCGCCATGGGGCCGGTAATGGCTTCCTAGACTCAAAGCTTGATGCATCCGTAGGAACACATTGGATCCGCCAGTTTGCAGCTGGATCGGTGGATTCAGGATAGATAACGTAGTAGACCTCCTTTCCTAGCATTGGCACATCGGACGGCGTGGTAGTCGGCATTCCCGGCGCTGCTTGCTCCAAGTTATACAGATGCTCTTTCCAAGGGACCCCGCCCTTTGAAAGTATGATGATTCTGCCGGAGGAATGAACATCAAAGCGAGATTCGTACGCCGCCCGAACGGTCTCACGAGCAGGTAGCCAGGAGCTAACTGCAGCACGGAGTTTTCTTGCAAACGTCTCCCCGATAAATGTACTCGCGTTAGCGAAGAGACTATCCTCATCAAGGCGGTCGTTAGGGTCGGGGAGGTTCATGTCTCCGATCAACGAACCCAGGTTGATTCCACCATCACGAAAGCGCTTTTCCAAGCCCGAAGCAGCAAGGGCTTGTGGTTCGTAGACTGAGATGCCGTTATCGTGGGCATCCAGAGCCTCGATGAAATCGGCGTATAGCTTTTCATAGATAGTCTGGACATCTTCGTGGTCAATTGGCTTGGACATGTGCTGGGCGATAATGGCCTTGCCGAAATGCAGGTAGACTAGACCCGCTGAAGATAGCCGCGTTGTATGATTCGGAAAGGTGTCTTGAAAGGTGCGCTGATGGTGATCGTAGCGATTCCTCGCGGGGTCATACTCTCCGCCAACGTCGACAACAGTGTGACAGGAGGCCAGCTGCTCTGGATCTCTGGTGCGAACAAGCGGGGACGAGGAGTAGGCTGGGAGCATGCGAAGAAGATACACGGCAAGGGCTTCATCGGCGTGGAAATGGCCACTATAGCGGGGTCAGTATGTTTCTGCAATAGAGCTGCCAGGAGGAGGACGTGCCTGTGAGTCCCAATTAACGGGCCAGATGCCTTGAGCTTCTTCGAGGCTGTTTCCTGAGCCATTCTGAGCAGGTGAAAATACTGGCGTCTCATATACAGCCTGGGGAAGAATGTCAAACTGGCAGCAAATACGTAGCTCTGCTGCAGGAATCCGACATAAAACCTTGACGTCCAGGCAGAGCTCGATCAGAATATCAGTTCGAAGCTCTGTTGTTGCTGGACAGACAGACGCTGGCGTGCTAAAAATAAAAAGTCAACTGCCAGAAATCCAAAATCCAACACCCTGGATATTTCACAAGGAAATCCAAGATCGCCATGGTTCTTCATCTCTTGTCTTCTTCTTAGATTCCTGGCTGCTTCTCTTTACCTCCAGCGACTTCATCATAGCCAGAATTGATTTCTTCCGCCGTCCTCTCTGGACACTCTGGCATCATCATCATCACCCACCATTGCCTTTTCCCTTTCCCTGGTTTGTGCTCCCGCAATTTCGCAATACAAAGCGTCTAGCTGCCTCGCCCGATTCTTGCAATTTGAATCGGCTCCCTGGCCTACTGTTAAATACCTTGGCTATCCCGAAGATACACTCTTAGTTGACGAGAGCACACGAGTCACCCGAGAATTATATATCACCTGGGCCGCACCTGTTCGCTCCAGGCGTACTGAGTGACTGCATCGATAAACACTCTGCACAGCGCACCTCGATCCCTCGCACCTAGGCGCATTCACAGCTGTCCTCGCCTGATCGATGTGGATCGTTCGTCTCATCTCGTCCGCCTTCTTCCTCACCGCCATCGTCCTGTCAATCCCCCTCGCGTTCGATGTCGGTGGGAGGACCTGCGGCCTGGCATTCTCCCTGTCCCTCGCGACCTTCTACTTCTTTCTCTCCGTGCTGAAGCTTACTACCCCGGACCAGTCGCGGATTCGCTATTCCTTGATTGTACTCGTCAGATCGACACAGTGGCTGGTTGCGCCTGTCTTGCTAATATGGGCTTTGAATAAGTTTTCCGTCGATTCTGATAACTCCAGCGGCTGGGTGGAAAGGACATTTAGTGGGAAGAGAGCACATGATACTTCCATCTACGAGTGGATATTTGGTGTCAACGGACTGGTCGAAACGTTGTCACTGGGGAGCTGGGATCGGCTTCTGAGATGGTCAACTCCGGTCTTCCAGCTAGCAGAGGGCTTCTGTAGCTTGTTGGTAATTCAAGCTGCCGGCCAAATTACAAGATGGCTCGTCAACAGGGGTGGAAGAAGCGAGAGCTGGATGGTATGCAATCTCCCATGCCCTCTGCTGTCAGGCCCTCAAGACTAACAGAACTTTTAGATCTGTCTTCTGGTCATGTCTGCCTCTGTGATCTCAAGCTCGATTTATTTCCTCTGGCGCGTGCTGCGGTTCCCGGAAATCAGCAACGTTGATTCTGCCTTGATCGGAGTCGCAATTACATGCGCGGTATTTCTCTGTGCATGGGGTATCGGTAGCGGCCGGGGGAATCCAGTGGAAAGCTCTCTTCTATTTGCCTACGTTGTCCTCTGCATTTACCAGATATTTACCGATTACCAATCATCCACAGCGTCGGCGGCGCCGCCTGCATCCTCACAACCGGAATTCCCTCCGCTTCCACCGATCATCATGGCTTCTTACACCACGCTTATGCACACGCTGTCCTCCCTGCCGTCCATTATCCACACTGCATTCAATGTCGTGAGCGCCGCTTTCAGTGCTATTAGTCCGTCCGTTCTGATATCTCTACTGTATCGCCTGTTCGTGCTCTACGCCTCGACAAGAATCATCCCCGCTGTGCGAGAATCCGGCGCTAGGGCTCTATCCCAAGAAGCGTCTTTAGACGATTCTGATGGCGCCGGCCAAGTTTTGGGTCTGTTGAGCTGGTTTTCGCCTTCGATCCTTATCGCTGTTTACACCAGCTTGCTGATGCAACATTTTGCTGCTCAATCCATGGGAACAAGTGGAGAATGGTGGAAGAGCGCTGGAGCTGCGAGTGGAAACCTTTGGAGATGGATCAATTTAGGGTGCACCATGGGACTCTACGCCGTCGAGCTATGGTTGGGAAAGCAAGATGATATCGATGCCGGTTTGGCCGGTCATTGGAAGACGGACTGAAGTCGAAGAAAATGTTTGAAGGAATATGAGACATGATTATCATCCGATAGAGGGATCCAACATCGTCCCTGTACAGAGCGTTTATACTTGGATCGTTTCGACACAGTTGGATACCATAATACGACATTATGAAGCTTGATCTATCTATCCGGACGAGCTCGCTTGAAGCGGCCATCGCTAGACATCTCGGCCTACAGCAACTAGTGGCAAACTGATGGTTAGCCATTCACCGTCTCACATCGCTCCCAGATTCGAGCTGTACTCACCCGAATTTTGGCCCTTCGATGCCCTCATGTACCATGTTATCTGTTTATCTGAATTTACGCTCTGCGGGAACATTCGTTTATACAGTATTCGATGGATTTCCAGCCTTACCCATTCGCTGAGCTAGGCGAAACGGATTTGAAAGACCGTGACGACGTCTGCCTACCCGTTTTCCGTCTAACTAATTGGGATTTCCATTGACCAATTCAAGTATCCCCAACCGTAACCGCCCGGTGTTAGCCACAAGATAGTGGAAGCCCGGCCAGCACAACAAGTATTCGAAGGGACGACGAAAGAAAGAGCACGCCTAGCTCCCCCCGATCCTGTGCCTCTCAAATGGAGCGGAATTCCAGACTAACAGTCCCCCATATTACCTACCCTTGCCCATAACACGCTGAATTCTCTTTCTGTCCTACGGGTAGCCACGTTTCGCCACCGTCCAGTATCACAAATCGACCTTGCTCCAGCGTACCTGCAAATCATTATCAAACTAGCCTATCCAACACTGTCCAATTTTCTCCTTCTCGCGTGTGTCTTTTATCTTTGGGTTTTTTTCTCACGGTGGCGAGCACTGGGAAGAATTACATATATGTGTATACTATACCATACAAGCTTTAAAAAGTAATCGATAATCGGAATGCTAAACTTGAAATTCGAGTTTCAATTGCCTTGGTACTAGCGTTATGAAAAAAAGAAGAAAAGAAAAGAAAAGATAAAAAGGGCCGATTGATCCATAGCGGGTGAGCTGTAAAGTAGGGGAACATTGAGCAACTGAGACAAGTATTTCCCACCACCAGGCTGGTCCTCATTTTCTCGGGAAGGCGGCAGAAACAGGGGGAAAAAGTAATAGGAAGTCAAAAAGTGCAAGAAATGGTAACTACCAAGGGGTATGAGATAGCAATAATGGTTTCATTTCAAATAATGACATAAAGATAACATGCTTCATAACAAAATGCAGAAATACTTGAGTCGTGACGAAGACAAAGACAGTGGCGAACCAAGTCCAAGTAAGACCTCAGATGGGCCTAGGAAATAAAAAGGGGCACTATATTCTGTTGAGAACAGGCTGTGAATGTGGTTGACTGTCAAGCAATCTGACTGTGAGGCCTATAAAGGGGCAGAATGTTCAGGCTTTCGCAGAGAGGGTTTGGTAGAGACAGTATAGATGCTTTCAACTCAGGCTGGGAAATACAGTGCGCAAAGGAAATGGACAGGCACCAGAAAGACCCAAATAGAGACTGTAATTCCATCATTTTTCAACTCATCCGTTCCACGCCCTGCCACCGACTGCTGGACACACAATGGTGTGCCGGGGTCAAGTAGAAATCACCCCATTTTGGTAGACGACTCAGAGATATCCATAGACGGTGACGTTACCCTATAAACTCGGAACCTTGTAGCCAAAGTTTCCATTTTGGTCGACAAAGATGGTCTCGGGCTACCGCCGAATTGGCAGTCCGCCTCTAGCCCGTGCGGGACTGACGTTCTCTTCCTGGGCATCGGTACCGTGGGCTGTGGTACCAGCTTCATTTTCATCACTCCCTTCTGTTTTTTCTTTCTGCTTTTCTTCGCCTCGGCCGCTATCGCCCAGGCTTGATTTTCGGTGAGGGAAATTGCTCTCTCGGATCGGACTGCGGCTCATTCCGACGGGTACTCCATTATGGATTCCGCCGGGATGGGTTGGCGAATGTCCGTTGAAATGTCCGGGGATAGAGCTTGATTGGGGAGGGGAAGTTGCAGTGAGGTGGGGGATATTTTCGGGGACGGGGTGACGAGAACCGATGCTGGTGACTCCGACGTCTGATGCTTTTCCAGCTTTGCTGAGAGCGTAGTCGCCCGAGTCAAAGTACTTTCGCTCCTGGATGAGCCGTATTAGCTGTGGCTCGCAGAATGGGGAGAACGAGTGGGATTGGACTGGGGGGCGAGTTCTAACCTTCAACTTGTTTTGGAAGCAGATCTTTTTTTGTTTGGAATCTTCCGTACATCCGCAAGAGCGCTGCTCATCGGGGCTTAGAGACTAGAAGCAAGCGAAGCATGGGGTTAGCGGGGGGAACGACGGGGTTCAAGGGGAGGTGAAGGGCCCCAAGTTACGTTGATATCGATTTTATTTTGCTGATGAGGGTTCATGGCTATAATTTTAGCGGATACGCCTGTTTGAAAACGGTTTGGTCAACTATAGCAGCCCAACCGGTGGCCGTGGGCAGAGATGTGCGGTGCAATGGTAGAGGAAGATGATCAAAGAGGAGCACTGGTTGAAGAGGTTCAGGTCACGGCAAGACGGACAGTCAATTCTCGGGATATGAAACAGCACGAGTAGATAGATGCCGCTGCAACTCGACAGTGAGACTTGTCAGGCAATGGATCACGAAGCAAGATGGAGGATGTTGGGCATAGAGAGAGAGTGTCTGGAGAGTTGGTTGTTATCGATAAGCAGAGGAGATCAGCTGCAGCTGTGCGGGTGACTAAGACGCTCTCTTTCTTGAGGGGTTCAAATCATCATCAAAGCCGTTTCTGCCGTTGCACAACCTCGACTAACAAGGATCACTGCTATGGACGGGGAACAAACAGGTCTCTTCATTCTGGCTATATGCTCTCTGCAATTGTCACTCATGGCATGGTTCTGGAACCATTTCTCCCGTCTTTCGTCAAAATCGGCCCATCTGCCCCCAATCCTGGTCCCTGAGGTCATCTCGAGCGCCATATCTCACCCCCGGCACCAATACTATGTGTCTCATCCTTTTAGCTTGGAGCAACTATATTTGAAACTTGGCAATGATTAGCTTACAGGTCTGCAATGGGCGTTCTCACGCGCTTTTGTCGAATCCATTGACGATTTTCGGATATCCGAAGCGGGGACGAGTTCCCTTTCTATCCCCCATGCTCTCGGCCACTTCGGCAATGTTGGCAGTCCCGGGGTCTGGCTTGGGCGCTGGAGCAGCAATCGCAGCGGTGACGGCGGTGATAAGAAGGACCCAGGCAACCTGCATATTGACTAATGACTTGGAATCGGCTTGTTAAACTTTCTCGCAGGTGTTATGAATGCAACAAGCTCTGTGCAGAAAAGGAAACTGATGACTCTTTTGGTTTTGTGAACTGATGGCTAAATTGTACGAAAGTGCCTGCTTCGAAGCTCATCATATAGTCGGCTCGAGCCGCCAAAAGGGCGTTGACCTTGAACCAAGGCCTCTGGTCAGTTGCAAAAGCAAAAATGATCACCGCTATCATTGAAACAAAGGAACTATTTGCTGCATCGAACACATCAACGCATTTTCGCCATTACAAGCTGCCGCGATCCAAGACCAACAATAAGCTTGAAGCCTAACTGAGCCAAATTCCGAAAAAGAAAAAGGAAAGGGAGCGTTTTGTATGTATCTACGCCGCGAGCTCAAGATATTCAGTGCGACAGTTTCCCGAACCGGTCTAACGTGCAAACGTCAACGTTCTATTAGACTGGGAAACAGGTAGCAATCTCAAGCAAGTAGTTACCAAAGACTCCCACAGAAACAATGAACCCTATCCTGATTCCTAATTTGCAGCAGCTGCTAGCTTGACCCTTCACCTGCTAAACTGGCCTCACTAGATACATCTCAATTCCGCTTAATATTGCCGACTATCATCAATTAGTGCTCTTTGTTGGCAACTTCGCTGATAGCTCCAATAGCTACGCTCCCGTTAGCAAGACGTATGCGCGACAGCTTCAAGAAGAATCACCCAGTGACGATCTGAGAGTCCCGTCGTGTCCTAGCACAGACCTCAATGCCTGGTCGTACCAAGTGCCGGGTAACAATGTTGTACTAGGCTTTTCTTTCCCATATTGCAGACTCATCACGGATAGTCTGGTGTGCACTCGGGATATCGTATCAGGTTGGTATGGCTTTCAATACGTGAGCTTATCAAGATATCAGTCGACAGGAGGCAGTTATAATCGGCAATCCAATCAACTATTCATCGCTCGAGACATTCGAACCTTACCTTGCATATTCGACTTGTTCGTGCGAAGAAAGTTGACCGGCTTCTCTGTGCCCCATCACAATTCCCATCATTGTAGTATAAATCGCCGTTGATGAAAGATTCGCCTGTAGATTCCATCATTCGCTCAATCGCATCTGCGCATTCCACGGAATGCGCAGCAGTTGATGGACATGCTTTTGGCCAGTCCATGTAGTTATGTAGTGATTTGACGAGGTTCACTCCATCCCCATTGATAAGTTGGAAAAGTGTGATAGGTCTGTAGTTATAATTTGCAACCCAGTGACTGGAATAACTAGTTAAATATTCTTGGTCCTTGGCCTTCATTCAAAGACTTGAACAACAGACGATTGAAGAGCTCGGAAATATTTACGAGCTTCATCTCCTTCCGAAGGCTTAAAGCACCTTTCATTGTAATTGTGCGGACCGCTGACAAGAGGCAAAAAGTGTGGATACACAACTCTTCCTTTGAAGACATCCCGCACTTGAACAACCCAACTTGCGGACAAGCATTCCGAGACTTTATATTGGCAACTTCTTGCGATTGTCCCTAACGCTCGTGTGATACCACAAAAGAAAAACGGAAAAGCCAACGGCAAAATGAGCCAGACCTCTGCTCAGGCAGCGCCCAAAACCTATGTGGTAGAACACCTCGACCCAGAATTAGGCCCGTGGTCCGCCTTGGAGTACGAATGCATTGCGAAAGAGTCCGCCGAGTCCGGGGCCAGGTTCATGCTCACTTCAGTGCCAGCGACGCTACGCCTGCCGCCCAACCTGGCAGCGCTGGACAGCCTGCATGTAGAGCACCGCGGTGTCGAAGAAATATTTGCTAGTCAAAAGGCTAGAGTCTGCCTGCTAGACCCAGCGGCATCTTTCGAATTATCTCCAGCAGACGGAGAACGGTTTGATATCTTTCTATTTGGGGGCATACTTGGTACGACTCGACGGAACTGCTAGTCTTAATATGCAAGCTGTTTTGCTCCTCTTTCGAGAAGAGCCGTTTCTGACTACGAATATATTACTGACTGGGATACCCGTTTATTCTAGGCGATGACCCTCCCCGAGGTATGATCCGTTAGTCCTGTATAAGGATCGAATGATGTGGCTAACTAGTCTCGCAGACCGCACATCAGAGTTGCGCATGAAAGGCTATGTCGGGAGGAGATTAGGCCCTAAACAGATGACAACTGATACAGCAGTGAGGGTAACACGCATTGTGGTCGAAGAGAAAAGTAAGGAATACCCCCCCGCTGCCACCGTTTGTTTCGTCTTTAACGAAATATAATAGCTCCTCTGGATCAAATTGAATGGGTGGATTACCCAGAGCTGCGAATCAACAAGCATGAGGCGACGGAAATGCCCTTTAGATATGTGAAAGGGAAAGATGGGGAGCCTATCATGCCTACGGTGAGCTGCGCGCTGTCTTGGTTGAATTAGTCTACTTGAGCTGTGCTGACAATTCTACTATAGGGCATGGTCGAGCTCATAAAGAAGGATGCAGATAAAGGATTGGAGGATCTTCTGTGATCCCCCTGTTTAGCAAAAACATGGAAATATTTTCGACGGGTTGTGTTTCGAGCATGTCACAGCTTGCATATTGAAACACGTTGGTGTTCTTCCTTACAAAAGTTAGATATAAGTCAAAAGTACATACTGGATATATTTGAAGCATGAAAAGAGTTGACAGATGACTTCAAAAGAAGGCTTTCAAGGGTTTTCTCCGGCGTGTCCAGGCATCCAGATATCAGCCGACTGGGCCCCAAGTCATCACCGCACTAAAACCTTCAGCTAACGCCCACTAGTGCCACTCTTAAGCATCGCCAAGTCGCCCTTAGTAATCTTCATACGCGGCATTTGCTGCAGGTCTATAGAAAGTTACCGAAGTATTACGCTGAATGGAGACGCCGTCGTCATTCGAGCGGGTCTGGGCTGCGCTAGCCCGAGTGTTTCATGCGAAGTGGCCATCTCAACAACAACAACAACACAAGCAGAATACCACCTCGTTGGAGTTGCATCGTCTCTCCGGCCCTCACCATCGCATTGCATTCGTGTCATTCTTCTTTTTCCCTTTCGGCTCTTATTTTCTTGTTCCGCCGCCCTGCTTCCGCTTGATTGTTTTTTAACGGCGACTACGCATAAGGGAGTAATTCCTTGTACGATTGTCGTTTCCACGAGCACGCTGCCAACGTCCACTTTTAACGGATTACCATTCCTTCTTTTCCCTTATCCGTCCACGGTCAATTTACGGAGTGTCGCCCTTCGCATGATTCTCGAGTATCATCTTGGATAGATTGGTGGACAACTCCACGAGGTGCGGGAGGCTGTCTTGCCGACAAATGCAAGCGCCGCGGACCATGTCCTCTTGTCAACCGCCACCGTTCCTCAGCAGCATGGTGGTGAGATGGCTGTCGGTGTGGATTATATTGGCGAGCTCGGCCTTTGCTTCTGCGAAGTGCGCTGCGGATTACTATGTCCGCTCGCTGCCGGGACAGCCAGAGGGGCCTCTGCTGAAAATGCACGCCGGGTACGTGTTGGTCTCCAAGAATTCGGCATGACTTTAATCTTCAGTGGTTCTCATTTTTTCTGTTTTTTTTTTTTTTTTTTTTTTTTGTTTCTTGAGCTATTTGCTAACTCCGTGTTGACTGATAGGCACATTGAAGTTGACCACGAGAACAATGGGAACCTCTTCTTCTGGCATTTCCAGAATCGTCATATTGCCAACCGGCAACGAACGGTGATTTGGTTGAACGGTGGGCCCGGATGCAGCTCCATGGATGGTGCCATGATGGAAGTCGGGCCATACCGGCTTAAGGATGATCATACCCTGAAATATAATGAAGGTTCCTGGGATGAATTTGCGAACCTTCTCTTTGTCGATCAGCCTGTTGGCACAGGTTACAGTTATGCCAATACGAATAGCTATCTTCATGAACTAGACGAAATGGCCGCTCATTTCGTTACTTTTATGGAAAGATGGTTCGAATTGTTTCCCGAATACGAACATGACGATGTACGTCCTTGAAATTATATCCTCCCGCCCTCATTTCAATGCTGACTCTTTTGCTCCAGTTATACTTCGCTGGCGAATCTTATGCGGGACAATACATACCATACATTGCCAAAGCAATTTTGGACCGCAACAAAAACGAAACAGTCATAGCGCAACGTCGACTCTGGCACCTCAAAGGTCTACTTATTGGGAACGGATGGTTTTCGCCCGTCGAGCAATATTTGTCCTATTTGCCCTACGTTTACAAGGAAGGCATGGTCAAAAATGACAGCGATGAAGCAAAGGGGATCGAAAGGGCGCACTCGGATTGCGTTGCTGAACTTGATCGAGCTAAAGGCGACGTCAAAATCCACGTTGATGTTTGTGAAAAGATCCTATCCGCGATTCTTGACGTGTCAAACAAAAGTGGACATTGTGTAAACATGTACGATGTCCGGCTTACGGATACATTTCCATCGTGCGGTATGAATTGGCCACCAGACTTGAAGCACTTGGCTCCTTACCTCCGGCGGGACGATGTTACTAGCGCCTTGCATATCAACAAGGACAAGAAAACGGGATGGACAGAATGCGCGGGAGCAGTATCGAGCAGCTTTAGGCCCCGCAAGTCCAAACCGTCAGCGGACTTACTCCCAGGGCTGCTCGAGTCGGGGGTACGAATCGGACTGTTCAGTGGAGCCAAGGATCTGATTTGCAACCATATCGGCACCGAAGAGTTCATCAATAAGATGGAATGGTCAGGTGGAAAGGGATTTGAGCTCTCGCCCGGAGTCTGGGCTCCTCGTCGCGACTGGACTTTTGAAGGGGAGACCGCCGGCTACTATCAAGAAGCACGGAACCTCACTTACGTTCTGTTTTACAATGCTAGTCATATGGTGCCATTTGACTATGCGAGGCGATCGCGCGACATGCTTGACAGGTTCTTAGGTGTGGATATTACTAGTATTGGAGGAAATCCCACAGATTCTCGCATCGACGGCGAAAAGGGTGCACTCACCTCTGTTGGTAACCATCCCAATAGCACCCTCGCCGAACAGCGTGAGAAAGAAAAACTCAAGGCTGCAACGTGGAAGGCCTACTACAAATCTGGAGAAGTCGCGCTTGTTGTTGTTGTCATTGCAGCTGGTGCCTGGGGATTCTTCCTTTGGCGCTCTCGCCGTCAACGACAGGGAAGCGGGTACCTTGGCATTTATCCCAGCCTCAATGGTTTGAGCTCAGGGTCCCTCCCCAGATATCGAAACAAACGTTCTTCCCGTGATATAGAGGCTGCCGCGGAATTCGAGGCTTCAGAATTGGAGACCCTGCACGACATGGATGATAGATCGCCGGGTCCGAGTCGTGATAATTATAGTGTAGGTGAGGATAGTGAAACTGAAGACGAAAAGCGTTATCCGCCAACGGACTTTGACCGACAGGATGGGACGCCTTCAGCTTCTAGAACATAGGTAATGCATAGCCTACCACTTTTCTCGACCTTTGTTTTACTTGCCCCGTTCCAAAATTGGGTCAACTTGCATATACTTCTTGGGAAAGGAGCCTGGCGTACTTGAGTACGGTATAGGGGGTGTTTTGTCTTTGCATATCCCTATTTAGATAATTTTCCGCAATCTCTTGGTTTATTTATATATCCTTGTTGAAAATGAGGGACAACAAAGATCAATGGCCAAAAATCTAGCTCTTGAGGTGTTTCCAGTCCAATGAGACAGATTTCTGAGATGCTACTGTTCTACTCTCCAGACTTTCACACCACCGTCGTCCCCAGTGCTTAGAAGCACCTCCTCATTCATGTCGGGGAGATCCGTTTCAAAATCATCACCAAAGTATTGTTGTGTTTTGCGCTGATCAGCTCGCTTCGCCCAGCAGATGTGATTGATTTCATATATTCCATGGGCAGCCTCGACACGGGCCACAATCTCCCATTTCGTAGATGGGACGGCTACTTCTCCATCCGCAGCCTGGTCCCTTTGCGTGTGATCAGTTCCGTTCTGCGTTGGCTCCTCAGAAACGAGAAAGCGTTCCTGGTAGACAATGATCCGCCCATCCGACCCCGTCGAGGCAATTAATCCCGTCTTCTTGCTCCACGCGACCGAGTATACCGACAGATCGTGCGCCGCCGGCAGTTGGCACTCCTCCAGCCAGGTTTCGTCGATGCTGGCAGGGCGAATTATGCTTGGTATGGCTGAATGCTGCGCCGCGGGCGGCCTTTCTCGCGGTTGTTTACGCCATATGCGGATGGTCTTGTCGTCTGAACAGGAAACCAGCCGCGGACCGGATCGAGATCGCTGCTCGAGCCACTGTTCCCGTTGAAAGGGTGTCAGGTCCCCGTTCTCCGAATCAGCGGGAAGCGTCAGGGAAGCCCGTTTGTCGTGATCCTCTGTAGACGTAGCGCTTTCCCACTCCACGCACCAAACGGTGCCTTCATGGCCTCGTAGACAAGCCACCTGGCCCCAGTCATCCACGTCCTCTCTCCACACGCGAATGGTATCATCATAGCTCCCCGAGGCAAGACAGTCCTCCTCCGGATGCCATGAAACCCACTTCACATCGCCCGAATGCTCCTGCATCACCGCCACCGTTTCGAAATTGTTATCCCCATCCTCCAGATCCTCCCATATCCAAATCGACTTGTCCCGCGAGCACGTTGCGACCAACGAACCCCCCGGCGACCAAGCCACGGACTTGACCTCACTATCATGCCCATCCAACAACACCGCAAACCCCCATTCCTCATCCTCATCCTCCTCATCATCGTCGCCGCCACTGCTGTTCCGCCGCTCACGCTCCCCAGCCGCTAACCCGCCGCCCATCATATCCCGCTCCGCCGTCCCAAACCCATCCCACCGCCTCCAGATCCCGACCGTCGCGTCAAAGCTCGCGGTGGCAAGCACGCTTTCGCCCTTTACGTGCGGCTTCCAGGCGCATGAGCGCACGGCGCGTTTGTGGCCGCCGGATATGGTGGAGAGCAGCGTGAAGTTGACGAGTGAGTAGATCCGGACGGTCTTGTCGGCGCTGCAGGTTGCGGCGATCGGGAGGCGGGGGTGCGGGGAGGTCAGCCAGGTTCGATCCAGAGAGGGCGGGCTGAGGTCGGAGAGGTGTGTGAGCTTGATGGGCGAGGATGGCAGCTTGATGGGCGAGGATGGCGGCATGATGGGGGGGACTGAAGGAGGGAGAGTGAGGGATTGGTGTTCTTGCGGGATGTTTTTTACTGCGTGTGCTGTCTCGTCTGTATTTGGGTGTTTTTGCCCTGCCTAGGAAGGGGGAGAGAGCGTCTTTGTATGACGGATGGATAGACGGTATGGGAAGCGGAGATGCATATGTATACCGGAGCTTTCAATAATCTAAGCCCAGCAGGAGGTGAGTTCTTCTTTGTCCGGTGCGGATGATGATGCTGATATTGGTGGGACTTTTTCTTAATCTCGGCCGGCTTCAGATTAGATTGATAAGATTAGGCTATCAAAAGCAACGAATTCAGATATCTCGTTGAGCCACAGACGGCTCCGTAGAATTCCCATGATTATGGCATTACCGCATCTCTATTTACTAGTTAATTATGTACGCTGTTGTCTACTATACAAAACGGCCATCTGGTATACACCAGTTTGCAGGCCTGATGCCATACCATCAACTTTTGAGAAAGATTTCGAAAAGCAGAAATCCAGCAAAAAACTAGACAGGAAAAATCCAATCAAAGCCCGATCATTAACAAGAAATTCATACTAACAAATGCCATGATGCCAGCTATAGGAAAATTAGTATTAGAAAGACGACCGTTTAGCATCAGTCGTCTCTCGACATATTGAGCACAATTCGTCCACGAATGTCTCAAAGGCGCCAGCGTACCTAGCCTCGGCGGTAACGCCCAGTTGCTGCATCTCGAAAGCAGCACCGATGTCGTCACTGTGAGATGGCTGGCGCTCCACAATATCCACAGTCACTTGATTGCTAACCATGATACTTCCCCAGGGAAGATTTCGACTCGAGCGTGAATCATCGGCTTCGGAAGTTGTAGTTTTGGAGATGTCGCTTCTGCGACCGGGGCGTATGCCTTGAGAGCTTGGTACGGATGAACTGATATTAGCGGATCCTGTGTATCTGCTTTTGAGGGTTTGGTACGCCGCACAGTAGCCGAATTCTTCAAGGACGGTTTGTTGGAAGTTTGCATGGTCGACGATGCCCGGATACACCTGTTGTTGCGCTGTGAAAAGACGAAGAGGAGTGAGGCACAGTTGAGGGGATGTAGTGCGGGATTGTAGGCCGTTGATGATACGGAACGAAAAGGCGGTGCATTTCCCTGTTCCGCCAGCTTGTCCAGTCGAGCGGCAGGGGATCATGATGCGCCGCGCTGAAAATTTAGCTCCACCAAAGGCTGGGCTGTCAATCAAGTCTGCAAGTCCAACTATGGCGTTATACATATGCTGACAAAATGCTTTTAGTTCCGGGTCGGCGTGCTCTGTACTGGTTTGCTTGAGCCACCTCAAACATAGGGTCAAAGGCCAATCATCCATGCGAGACAGGAAATCTATTTGTCGCTGTGAAACCGACATAATTGGTAGAGTCACATGTGGTAGGATATTCGGTGCTTCCTCACATACGAGAACATCAAATCCCTTTCTGACTGAGGGGTGGAGCGAGAAGCAGATCAGATGAACACCCGGTTCCATCATCTTCTGGGTGTCGCTATAGTCCCGCATATTTTCCAAGCTGATCAGCATGTCTTCTGGCGGGATTTGCATACTTCGTGCGAGGGTCGGGGCTATATTCTGTCTAGCAGCAAAACTCCAACCGGTAGCGGAGAGCTGAGCTGCCTCCTCTTTACTTAGCTGTCGGACAGTGAAAAGAAATTGACCTTTGCCCAGCATTTTAGGTATGTATACGGATTCAAGGTCCCGCTCTAGGCCTTGCTTTTGTGCGCCGGATTGCGTCCCTGTGATGATGATATCGTCGTATAGTTCTCCCATCTTCTCGAGGGGCTGGTGGAGTCGATCTGCAAGTTCTTGCGCTGCCACGCAGAAAAGCTCTTTGAAGACTGACTCGAAATCCAGGTCGATATCAGCGCGGCCATCTGCCGCTCCACTATTCCCGGGATAGAACGCCTTTGTGGTTGCGTCTGAGAGAAGATGGTATTTCATTCCGGGGATGAGTTTCCGGAAAATAGCCCAGTTACGACTGGCTCTGAATGCCCAGATAAAGGCCGGATGCGTTTTGCTGAATTCATCGTCGGCAAAAGTCTGTCGATGTTATGTATCGTCAGCTACCAGCGACTTCAAAACCCAGAGCCAACGGAAGTTCATGAAAAGAGATGTTACGTACGCGATCAATATACTGATTGGTGATCTTTTGGCTTGGTAAAAGGCCCTCAGGTGAGACCATGACTCTGCCTGATGAATCAAAAAATGCGGAAGCGAGAACCAGTTGGCGTACACGATTGGCAGACTTTTTATGTCGTCGTTTCGTAAGAACAGCGAGTACTATAAGAAATGCACACGAGGCGCAAGACTGCCAATGTAGGTTAGCCAGTCAACCACTATTAATTCCTCTGGCCATTTTCAGACATACCAAAGTGGTGCAAACAATAACTGTTTGACTTGACGAAAGCTGGCCTGAAGTGTCTTGAAAGACATTCTTAACCCGATAGAGCGTGCCAACTGCAGCCGTCCAATGCATTCCTGAGACGGCAATCGCGAGAATGGTTGCACTGATCACTCGTTTCCACCAGCTATTTGTCCAGGAGGCACGCATTCGAAAGAAGACGCCCAATGCCGTGATACTCGCTGCGACCGCAATGACCGCCGCACCGATAACATTGGGAAGCTTATAGCTGCAGGTGTAATTTGCTATCCCGAGTTGTCCAACGTAGTGCATGCCGCAGACCGCTGCGCCAGTCAAAACACCTGTGAGAACGATATACCACAGTTCTGCTCTTTCACTTGCTCCAATGAAATAAAAAGCGATCATGAGGACGACGATCGGTAATAGAAACGACACTGCCGTGAAAGCAGAGCTGTAAGAAATTTGATAATTGGCGCCATGGTGAAGTATGGTTGCCCTGTTGCCGATAAAATGCATACACCAAATCCCGATGCCTCCCATACACACTGCGGCACTAATCAAGAGATACCTATCCAGGCCGGTTAGGTAAGAACGAGTAGACCGGAATTTTCGGAGATTTACCAATTATAAAGGCCGAATCGAGAGGTCCGACGGTGAAGCAATTCCAAACATGTTGCACATCCGGCTAAACTGACAAGATATGAAAGAACAATAAAGCCCGCACTGTAGGAGACGGGCACGAAGTCGTTTAGACCGAATTCCACTTCGCCCGCCATTATAATTGACGGAGCTATAGAGTGAGTTAAATGATCAATTCAGTCGAGGGCCTTTCCCTCTCTCGACACAGCTGGAAACAGGCGTGCGTGTCTCATCGTGCGAAACTTGGATGAGCACACCTGCAGTCAACTTTTTGATCTCTGCCCTGGCTAAATGTTTCGGGATATCCGCTGTGAGAAGTGCTTTAAACGAGCGCGAAACGTATAGTTGGAAAAATCCACAAAAACAGAATTTAAATCTAAAAGAGCGTGAAACCTTGGTCAAGATAAGGCGTTCCCAGGTTTTTGGCAAGAGGAGACCGTCACAAACCAGAGGATTAGCATGGGCAAAACTGGTAGCCGAAATCCGGAGCCGCCGGATCTTATAAGCTGAGTCTATTTATTTCCGTCCTCCAGGTCGGGGTCCTTGTGTGCGAACAAGACTCGAATTGATAGCTGCTCGGCACGCCAGGTGTAAAATTGCAGTGTCCCGGGGAAAGGGACAGGGTGAGCAAGAGGAGGAAATTAAGGCCAAGGGCCTCCAAGCAGGACAAGAGCAAGCACACGTTGCTGCAAACCAAAGAGTTATGCAAACGTGGAATGATCAAGAAGCGGGCGATTAGCTATTGGCATCCTAATGCCATATTGCCCGCAAAAAAGTAGGCGGAGGTCACCTGCAACCAGACAGGGACGCTGGGTCAGGGCCCTCCATCGCGAGACTTCTCCTCACGTACTCCGTAACTGCAGACGCAAATAATGCTGTCTGTCAGGCATGCCCAAGCAAGCCTGCGCGTGGTCCTGGTGGTGATTGGCCGGGTGAAGCAGGACTATAACCAGGGGGTTGGAAGAAATCCGCATCCAGCCCAGTCTCGGCCATTCAGGGACAGCGATAGGAGACAGCTTTAGCGGGATTGCAGTTGCCTTTGCCGGGGGGTTGGAGAAGGGCGGTGCTGGAAGACCAGGGAAGGATACGGAGGACAGAGCTTGACTCTAGGAATGGCGTCAAAAAGATGCTTTTTTGGCGAGTTCCACGGCCCACCGATCACTGGGGCTCGATCGGTACCAAGGAGCTGTTAGAGCGAAGATCTTGTAGAGATGATGAAACGGGTCTCCAGCAGCGAGACAGATAGCGATTCCCCAAAAAAATCCAGAGAGCAGCCGTCGGATCCTCGGCTTGACTGCGCGATGGGCTCCAGGGTCGCTGGAGGGCATCTCTCGTCTATCCCCGGCCGGCTAGGCCAGTAAATATCGGTTAGTTTAGTGATGTATCAGTGCGTGTTCGATGCGGGCTGCTGGGATTCAGAGATTAGCCCAACACTAACGAAAGCGATCCTTGCATGCATTTCTTATTTTACGCACAGGGCGAGATGCGGTAGCCGATTTTTATGGGCCGCGAGTGGAGATGCAAGTCTTTTCTCGTCCTCGGGGGTTTTGTGTCCCAGAAGACCAACAGCTGCTTGATGCCAGTTGGGTTGTGTTCAGATTGAAACGAAGCGACCTCCCTAATCCGTCGCTAGAGTTACGAACGGACAGCCAGCCACTGGCGGCCGGAGAGCTGGATGGTTGTTGCCTGCAGGGATGCACGAGTTTGGCGCCTCAACGTAACTCTGGCAGACAGCGAGCTCGATTGCTCGCCGGTCTCTCTAGAGTCTGCAGGCATGTGAAGTCCCGAAGGCCCATCTCTTCTCGGATCTGGAACTGTGATGATGCTCCACAGCCCTGCGACGCAGTGTCAACCACATGGTGAGATCGCGGTTGACGGGCGACTCTGTCTCTGCGCTCTCTCCACCTCTGCTGCAAGCCTAGGCTCGCGATCGGGACATCAGGGCATCTGCCAGGCACGCTGGGCTCTCCTGGATAATGGTTCAGTTTAGCCCTGGAGTGGCGAACTTCGTATTTTCCAACGATTGCAAGAGATTCTTGAATTGGAGAACGATTCCCAGACTGATAACTAACTTATATATCCAGATTCTCAAAAAGACACGTGCAACAGATGATCATACAGCGCCTCAACCTAGCAAAGAGCCAATAGTGCAGATTCTATAGATTCTCGACTTGAGTTGATCAACAGTGGAATCACAACGTGAAACGAATGACATATGGGCAAGGCTTCGCGCCAAACTTGGTTATCCTGTTCTCCTGCACCTTGTTGACGCGGTCGTTGGGAGCATTCCACATCCTATCTCCCGAGTCCCTGTACGCGACGTGTTAGCAGTCTGACAGGGCGAAGCAGTGAAACGGGCGTACATCATCAGTCCAACATGATAAATGGACCCTGGGTTCCCGCAGTCACAGTTTCCACCAAAGAAAACCGCATCACCCGCTCGACGCTGGGAATAGGGATATTTCCTATAATGCAGTGATTAATCCCCAGTCTGACCAGGAGCAAGCAAATCCCCCAACAACTTACTTGTACTTTAGTTTCTTCTCTGAAGCGCAGTACATCGATGAAGTCACACGCAAGTTCTCAGCAAACAGGTCGCGGCCTGTGACCTGACAAACGGCCCAGCACACCAGCCCCGAGCAATCGAACCCAACTTCCCCGTGATTTTTGGGTGCGATGTCGCCGGTTGGGCCCTTGCATGAGCCTCCTCCCCAGGCGTACGGCTTGCCCTTGGCAGTCAGTGCCTTTTGAAGGATCCTCTTGCCAACATCACCGTTATCGGATGGTGGCCCTTTGGGCTTTTCGGGGGGGTTGTTGGGGCCCTTCTCTTCTGGCAGTTCCCTATCCGGTGCAGGTCGTGGTGGCCCAGTGTCCACCCTACGGCGATGCATGTCGCTCCCCGACCATGTCTGCAATCCGGTTAGCATGTCTATTGGGAGGAGTGATGTCGTGATATCGACGGAGGACACAAACCGATGCATCGCCGTGATAGAACTCCTCGACGCTGCGACAGAGTCCTGAATCGCTATCAACTGCGCATCTAACGTCGCGAGTGCCACCGTTGTCCACTGGGGAGGAGTGCGAAAAGGCAACCAGAGTGCCTATAATAGAGGCGACGAGAAACTTCATAGTGGAATATAGCTAGCCTGATTCTTCTTGCTTGGGAAATTGGATTCTTGACCTGCATCAAACGCAGCAGGAACTGCGTCCAATATATACCCAGACAGCCTCCCATCTTCAAAGGACGAGTCCCCAGATATCAGCGCAGAGATAGATTAAACCCCCTCCAAATGACAGCCGTATCTTCTGGCCCCGTACGAAGCCTCATAGTGAAGATGACAATTATGCCCTCTGTAGAAGATATCCGATAATCAACGACAAACATAGAAAAGACCCCCAAATGTTCGTGACTTCAAACGCTCAAGAAGCCCCGTTCCTGAAAAAAGGGCATCTACATGACGATTTACGCGAAAAGGGAAGGGAAAACAAAATGGTGTGGAAGAGCATAAGGCTGAGAGGCACGGAGTAGCATTATCTATAACTAATCGATGTGCAGGATATCCTGGGCTATGGCCCCCCATCTTGCAGTGAGCGGGACAAGGCCCTTACACAAACGTAAGCCTTGCGCTCGAGGAGTTATTAATTGAGCGCGATGTTTCGTTTTAATATGCTGGGCAAAATTCCGCTACAGCTTTAACTACGAGCCATCGCCGGACTAAATATAGCTGGTAGATCGATCAGCTGCTAAGATACAATGATAATCTGGAAGTAATATGGCTTCGTAGATTCAGGCAAAACTACACAAGATCACTCGACTAACATACACGATACACTTGGTCTAACGAAAACGGATGAACCGACAAAAGCACAAAAGAACAAAAGGAGACATTAGATCGTCATCTTATCCAAATCATGTAAGAATAGGGTTAACAATACAAGGTAAAAGTTAAGGATACCAGCACGGACAAAGAGGGTGGAAAAAGGGGCCATCCTACGGCCAGAGAAGCAGATCACCAAACAAGCGTCGAAGAGACCTATTGTGTCTCCTCGGCACCCTCGTTCCAAATATTCTCGTACGCCACACCATGGCACATCCAGTCGACTTCCCGGATTCGATTCAGACTGTCCACAATCTTGCCCACCTCGCTCACAAATTCAGGCATGCCCGCCGCCGCAAGACTCTGGCTGGCAGTGGTGGTCGTACGGATTCGCTCTCTTGCGCTGGCTGCGCTGAGGCGTGCCAAAACATGCGCTCGAAGCCGAGAGAGCATTAGCTTAGCAACGGGATCCGTAAAATACATCGCACTCGGGGGTGCCTCAGCCGCTGCATTGGAGTATGATGGAAACGATGGTGAGGCGGGCTCGCTCGTCACAGTAACGCCTGGTGCAGACGAGGAAGATGCAGTCGCAGACGCCGCAGATGCAGGGGTCAAGACCCGCTTAATAGTGGAAAGCAGCTGCGATCTGGTTGCCGCAGGCATGGGATGTGTTGAGTCTAGGATCGACTGAACCCGCTCCGGCTTAATCTCACTAAAGTCGAGAGACAGAATCCGCTCCGCCTCCCCCTTCCACTGGGAGCGTACGTCTCGTTTCAGTAAATTCTTCGCACTGAGTAGAATGGCGGCAGTGGCCGCTATTTTAAACGACTGCGACCGAAGCTGATCTAATCGAGCACGATCCAGGTTCAACGTCTCTGGGAGCTGTTCTCGCGGCAGATTCCCATTACTCAGTACAAGGCAAACAAGGCCTTGAGCATATATTTTTGCGACCGAAGGTGCTATGTCGACTCCGCAGCTTTCAGGGTCTCGTTTCTTCATCTCCGCAATTATCGCCTTGCGACTAGATTGCCAGAATCTTCTCGTTCTCTCGAGTGTAACGGCCCCACTCTCCACATCTTTGCTAAACGCTCGCTGTTCATACCCAGGCCCTTCTTGGATGAGCTGAGGAGCTGCCATCTGCAGCATAAAATTGGTGTGATCCAGGGATAAAAGATCGATGATCCCCATCAGCTTTGCCAGCCGGTCGATTGCATCCCCGGATTTATCCTCCGCAAAAGCCTTCACATCTGGGTCGCGGAAGGGAGCACAGAGCTTTGGAAGGACAGTGCTCATAAAATCGAAAAATGCATCGTACGAGAAGGTTCCCGCCTTGCACTGGTTCCCGATATGAGTTGGGTCGAGCACCTCGCTGATTAGATTATGGAGTGAGTTCCCGGGCTTTAATGAACGTAGCAACCGGTCCTGTATGACCGTAGCCATCGCAACAGTCCAATCGGCGCCCAGGCCAGCTTCAGCGTCCTTTCTCATCATGTCGCACATATGCTCCATCACTTGCCGCCGAACTTGGGTGTACGACTTTTCGTCGATTTTGAATTCGCGATTGATCAACAATTCATGAACGAGCGTTCTATTGTCTGGCAATGCGGTAAGGAGTTTAACAAATTGGGCCTGTGGACTGAGTCCTTCCTGTTCAGAGGGTGGCTGCGGCCAATGCTCAGCATCGGCAGGAAAGACATCGCGGAGAGGAGAGTGGACCTCTTCTGGAGGCACATCGCCGCTCGACGGTAGGTCGGTCACAGCACGCGGGATTGCCTTGGTAGACGTGCCGTTTCTGCGCTTTTCTCGCTTTGCTTTCCTTAGCGCCTGCTTGACCAAATCCATAGCTCTGCCTGGACCGGCAAGTCTCTTCAACCGTGCCAATAGTAAAATCTGGTTGTGACGGATACCCTTCTGGTAGTCATCAGCAACGCCTCCCTCGCGATCATCCTTCACAGCCTGCCAGATAAGCTCAAGCTCAACAAACTGCGCTAACATAATCTCAATCAGCACGCTAGAATCATGGGATTTCCAGGCATGGAAGGCGGAGAAGAAGGTGTTGTACAAGTCGGACAGCGTCTGCAAGTCGCCGGACAACGAAGCTGGAGAAACTCCGATCGAAGAAAGCTGTGTGATGACCTGCTCGAAGATGACGAGTAGATCCTGCGCTTTAGTGATCAGATCTTGCTCCTGCTCTCCATTACTACTCAAAACCTGTGCGGGATGAGCCAATATCAGGTAACTGCTGAGAAATACCCTCACAGCCCCCCGTTCGCTCATGTAATTTTCCTCAGACTCCTGAAGTCCGCACAAATGAAGCACTTTTTTGGTCACATCGATGACATTCTCCATTGACAGCAGTGCCCCAACCTCTTCAAAACTGAGGTTGCGAAATCTTCCAAAGAAAGATCCAATGACCTAAAGTGACTAATTGTAGCACGAGTGCGGTAGTTGCGCCAGGCCCTTTGGATGATACAAGCAGCGGCACGCTGACTGAGAATTTTGGCGAATGGACGCCTTGTGGCTTTTCTCTCGGCAGAGCTTGTCCGGCGAGAACGGGTCTGCTGGTATAGTAGCCTCCTTCGTTCAACTTCGGCAAATTTTTCCGCCATCTCGACGCGATGTCTCGCATGCTCTGCTGCCTTGCGCTCCTTTATTTCTTCGGCTTTCTTCTTAGCCCGGCGCACCTCTTCCTCGCATCTGGCAGCGATTTCAGCCAATAACTTCTCCCGTGCCTGCTGCGCGGCCAAGGCTCGCTCCTCCTTCAACGCACTCTTTGTGTCACTCTTCGCAAGAGCTGCGCGCAGCCTGACTTTCTCGACATGCGCTGCTCTGTCAGCAAGGCGAGCCTTGCGTGACTCGATAATGGACGCGCGGCGCAGATGCTGTGGCATATCGCCGTGTGGTCCTCCATGAGCGGATACGGACGAATGCAACGACGAGATGGAGCTCCGGCGAGATGAAGGCACAGAGGCACGTCGGCGGTCTTTCGGGATGGGATACAAGCGAGCGACGAGGTGCGGCGGGAGGGACAACGGAGGATCTTCTGAAGACATTTCGACGTCTCCTTGATTCGAAGCAGTTGCCGACGTGGCCCGATCTTCCGCCCCCGTGTCGACAACGGACATTTCAATGTCGGACTTGCGACGGATTATCATGGTCGGGCGCAAAGGAGATTCATAGGAGGGTGCGGTCCCGTAAATATTATGCGTACGGGAGCGGGACGAGCCGTGCGAGGCAAAGGAGAACTGGAAAACTCGAAAGCGATAACGCTGATAAAAGGCGCGGCCGTAAAACGGGTTCGACCAGGGAGTCGGCTGCTTGTTTGGCAGTAGATCGTCGTTTCAGCTGGACCAAGAATAGAAGCACGAAATAAGGGTGCAATGATGCAAGGGTCGGTACTTAATACAGCAGATTAGGTTACATACAATAAATCAAGCGGCATCCAGGATAAAAGGCCAAAGGGGCCGCAGAGGTGAGGAAATCAGACAAAAGAGAAAGAAGGCGAAGACGTTGGTAAAGGTTGATAAGACGCACTGCCAGTCGTGGGCAGGAGGGGGTACAAGCACGGTACCAGAGCGGCCCGCTGTGTTTCAGCCTTCAGCCAGGTCACTTGCAAGTCACCGCCGCCTTTGCGCCTGCCTGAAACACAGTCATGTGGCTGGATTATGTAATAAGCGATCTGGCGACGTGATTGGCTATATATTAGGTGATGTCATTGATTACGATAAAGAATATGATTGGCTGTGGTTAATGACTAAGCAAACCCAGATAGAGTCACGTGGACCAGCCCTGTGAGTCATCAGGCACGTGGTCACGGAGCTGAGTCATCACAGTCTTGCTGCTGCGTCCAGGAACTGCGCCGGAACCTCAATCCATTTGTCCCTGATATAGTCCGCAAACCCCTTACCCAGAGAGTCCAGCTTCGTTGAGCTGCTTACCCCGCGCCCCAGGATCCCATAGATCACAAAATGGACAGCCATCAGCTTGGGAAACTCAACTCTCTCGATGAAGTATCCCTGATCGTCCTGCCCCAGGAGCTGGCGCATTCTCGTGCGCGTGATAAACGAACGAAACCAATCCCAGTGCGCTGCTGATCGAACAAACATTCCAATATTGATATTCGCGCCCTTGTCGCCGGATCGGGCCAGAGCGATATCTCCCAGCCGGACCGTTTTCGTTGGTCCAAATGAGCAGAGATCACAGGG